GAGGTTGAAACCATATGTATTTCATTTTTCACACACAGTAATTTCAGGTCAACAAAAGAGTTTGGGATCAATAGTTGTAAGGTTGATTCTATATAATTCATATTCTGATCAGAAAGGTAGGTGAGGTGAGGGGACATCTCAAAACTGTCTTCCTTTAACAAACTTTGACATCAACATTACTATTGTACTAAGGAAACATCGCAGTACAATATATAAATGGACAACCAATCATTATTTTAATTAATATCTCTCCTGTTAAAAATGTTGCTATGACTGATAAATTCCAACAAGGAGTATATTTTTTTTCTATATCACTCTACAATTGATTAAGCTCTATTTCAACAGTTAGAATTTTTTGTTATCGTAATATTTTGAACATAATTAAATTTCAATGACAATAAAATCATAACGATTCATTTGTATTTGATTATTATTATTTCATATTGAATTAAATGCATGACCTGATAAATATTATTTTTATTTTGATGAAATTTTTATTATGTTAACGAATACCGGTAAGCTTAAAGCTGTTCAAATAAACACAGTATTATAATAATGTATGTTATCCTTTACCTCATAGAAAGATGGTGGATATTGTTCAAATACTTTCTCAATTGATTTGGAGGGTTCACTGTATGATTTAATTTTCAATGTCACCTTTGCAATCTTCAAGTAAACTCAAAATCTCACTCTTAATGTTAGTAGTTCTTACATGTATGTCTTCCAAAACTAATTGTCAGATTTGTCACATAACTATATATAGACAATTTTACATAAATATTTCACTCTCAAATAATCAGGTATTTAATAACTGGAATATTAATCAGTATGTTCCAAAATAAATAGGATAAAAACAATTACAATCTTATATTTCTCCCAATTAACTTATTCACTTTCATCCAGAATGAACACACTTCAAGGAAGTCACTTAATGTTTGGACTAGCAATAATGGAGGTATTGTATAAATAATGTTAAAATTTCACAGAAAATCGAAAGGAATTTGCAGAAAGACTAAAGGTCTTACTATGTTTCATAATTGGACTTATATTTGATCTACATTGATTACATAGTAAATATAGTCAACTATATAAGAGAACTTCTCTCAACAGTACAGAACAAATGTAAAAAGAAGTGAAAAGATGGTTTTCTTTCTGTTTTGGTTGTTGAGTTTCTGATTAGACCTGGCAAGAAAAAAATCAGTATTCAAAATAAATATTTTTAAAGGAAACATTTCAGATCAGTACAGATTCTTTTTCTCAATTCACCTGTTAGTCTAAATGCTTTCTATTTATTTAACTGGATGTTTCTACTTCTCTTTAGAAGAAAGAGGCCCCATGTTTTAGGCCTTACTCCAAATGAGCATGGACAACATACGTGTTGTATTGTAATGAATCAAACACAAGCTAATTTAATAAAATCTCTTAGATTCCATCCTGAGCTAGATAGATAGAGAACCTTTTCTCAACCTAGATTTCCCTTACAAGGTGATGATCAGAGCCCTGAGTTCCACACACTGCATGTGATAGAGATTCCTGAACAAATGTGTCTCCATTAACCATATAATTTGCATGTAGTACCACACACTTTAATTCTGATATAACACCATATTCAAATTTTATTCTGACCTCATTAAAGAAGTATAATGTGGAGCCCTAGCATTAGCTAGTTGATGTCATAGCAGAATTGACTTGCTTTATAGCTTCTAAATACACTATTAAGAAAATTTCATCAAGAACATCTTATCTTAGATTTTAAAAGAAGATTATTTTGAAGACTTGGATAATACTTTTTAATATCATCTTTGGTAGGTTATTTTGTGGTGAATTTGACAGGTCTATAAACTTGGAGTTCCTGTGTAATAAATCAAATAAACTATAAGAATACAATAGAAACATATCAGTTTATAAGAATATAGTATTATCAACTCAGTGTATATAACCAGCCATTGCCCTGGGGACCAGATCTCTTCTCAATATGTTCAATATTGTATTCAACTAAACATACACTGTTGTGTATTGTCTCTACATTGGCAGAGAAAGCTGGGGGCTACTACACCCCATCCACATATTTCCAGCCAGCAGTTTGAGAAAATTCAGACAAGACTAGTTAAATGTTAAGTATTCTCCGAGTGATGTCTAATGTCCACATCCATAGATATCAATATCATTATATTTATATGTCTTTAAATGATAGCAAAAAAAAAATGGAGAAATCCTGATGCATTTCTGTAAATTTGAAGCCTATAATTGATCTGATTTATCACAGACATAAATATATCATAAGACTTCATGGATTTATATACTATATTAGAAATAATGCAAAGAAATAAAATATGAAATATATAAGCTTAGTTAAATTATTGATTTGAGAAATATGACATTAACAAAACAACATTACATTATTGTTTCAAAACAGGTTATCATGGGGAAACACATGACATTTCCATACAATTTAGAAAAACCTACATCTATTATATTATCATTTTACATTTTACAAAAAAACACATTTCAAATATTTCTCTTTTATTTATTATGTTCAAATAACGGTAACAAATTTATAATGATCAAATATATGGCATTATACCGGTTAGTTCAACTGTAAATTTCAAATTTTCTTTCATAGTCATACAAATCTGTATTCATTATATGAGTTTATATAAAAAAAAGTTGTATTAGTAAGATTCTAGAAAGTGATCATATCATTTTCATGTTATCAGTCAAATTTAATAATTACTTTTTACGTTATCATCCAGAAAAGTAGGACGTAAAACTCCATTCATTTCATTTCATTTCATTTACGTTATCATCATATATCATTTATAACATAATGTATTAAGTATCATATTGTGCAGAACAATTGGGACATAATTCAGTTTAATTTAAATAACTACATCACCTGTATATTCATCCTTCCTTTTCAATATAGTTTTATTTTCTTACTTTCTATTTCAGCCAAAAACACAACAATAATGACCGATGAATATTATGATTATTATGAATATGCATATAAAAGTTTATGTTCAGAACCAATTGTAGAAGGAAAAACTGAAGAAGCAGTGAATTTGGTAATACAGACATACATCTTTCCTATCATATTACTTATTGGAATTATTGGCAACTTAATATCACTGCGCTGTTTACATCAACTTAGTATCAACGTTTGGTCATCATGTCTATATCTCAATGTACTCTGTGTTGTGGATTTACTTGTGTTATTTGTGGAATGTGGGAATCCTTGGTTCCAAATAATTTCCCAACACAATCTTAGTGATGAAATTATGAAAATGTCTGCAGCTATATGTAAGATTTATCCATTTCTATTTCAATTCATGTTACATATTGGACCATGGATTCTTGTAGCCAGTTCTGTAGAAATGATGATTGCGACTAATTATCCACTATTATTATATAAAATGTGTACTCGTGAAAGAGGTAAAGCTGTCATGTTACTTATTACAGTTTTATTAACTTGTATCAATATGCATCATTTCTGGACATATGGATTAGTAACATTTCCTGAAGCGCCAACAGATGCACAAACACAATGTATCTATATAGAAGAATTTTCAGAATTTTTTCGTGACTCTGTTTGGCCATTTTTGAATTTAGCAGTACACCATGTGCTACCATTGATCGTGGTCTCTGTTTTGTTTTTCATTACAACAATGGCTATGGTCAGAAAACGTCATAAGGTAGAATTTGAATTAAAGAAAACTTTAGAGAAATATTTTATGGATATTCACTCACTGAATGAGTTAAAAACAACATTTTTATTAATTAGTTTATTTTATATTATTGTAACTACATTACGTGTAATATTGATTACAGTGGATCAACTTATATCATTAGGAGCAGTAGAAATACCTTGTGAACTTCATTATAAAGTTTTTTCAGTTCTTAATCTTATTCGAACAATAATTGATATCTTACATTTCTGTTTTCTCAGTTTTAAATTTGTGATTTATTTATTCACTAGTTCTCGATTCCGAAGAGAATTGATCAACACCGCCTTCAAGATAATTTCAATTTGTCAGAGACGAGATCGTATCAACCTATCTAAAAATAATCTGGCAACTAAACCGTTAATGGATGGTAGAGTTAATTCCCTGGAACATATTAGTACAAGGCCAGTCTCTGATGGATGTAGTGGAACTTCTAAAATTACAACTAATGTGTGAAATCAACCATCAGCACATAAAATTTTACAAAATGGAAAGAATACTTAAATATCAATGAAATGAATTGAAAGTTGTGATTGTAATTATTTTGTCAAAGGATGTGAATATTTTCAGTGTAAATCTCAATCTTGTAAGAGATATCTAAATCAGTACATTGGGATTACAATGTCTTGAAAAAAAGCCTGCAATTGATAATTCTGTCTACTAGGAACTCATTCCTATAAGATATATGTATCAGATATAAAACAGGAATTTTTGATAACTGTACATTATATAAATACATGTAAATATCAATGTTTGAACATTTTGTATCCAGGGACATTTTTATTTTGTGTTAAATGTTAGTATGTGTTAGTATGCCATTCCAACTGATAGCATTAGGAATAAGAAAGTTTTTTAAATATGAAAAGAAGTTATGTCTGAAAATCTGCATGTGAAGTATAGAATATGTATTTTATGTTGTGGTTTAATCTACTGTATGTACATGTCAAGGTCAAAAGGATATAAGCATTGATTTATTTCAGCTAGCTGTCTCAGTTTTCAGAATACAAACCTGATTCACAATCGAATCAAAAGACAATACTTTGTTTGTACCCGGTTATAATAATTTAATTTGAATTTGCAGATTTCCCTTTGACAAAAAGGAATTAAGACGTCTTTTGTAAATGTAGGAAAGATGGAGTAATTTCTTAACTGTGAATAGCTTAAATTGTGCACTTTAAAGTAGTAAACAAAGTAATAAATCACTATCCTGTTTATGTATAATGTATGTGGTGTATTTATATTGATGTATGTATAAAATAATATACAAACTTAACTTACATTCCTCTCGAAACTTGGGTTCAGTGTTTGCTCCAACACCAGCCAAAGTTCTTATCAATTCAACTTGCATATCATGTTGATCTCTGTACATTGGATCATCAAAAAATGTTTGTAGCTGCATATAAACTCTATCTAAAACCTATAAAGATAAAGATAAATTTACATGGATAGTAAAAAGAATCTAGCCATCTATCTTCTACTATATTCTTATATGAAGAATAATTACATCTGATACGTTCAACAATATCTAATATGTCTGTAGGAGAAATTAATTTGTATTAAAATTGACAAGAAAAAAAACAGAACATGTCTATTACAGCTGTTAATAAAACTTATACATAGTCAACTTCTTACAAACTTCTTACAATGTCTCAGATACAACAGCAAGAGGTGATACAACAGCAAGAGGAGATACAACAGCAAGAGGAGATACAACAGCAATAGGAGATACAACAGCAATAGGATATTTGGACTTGCTTTCAATTTTTTGTTGGCCTGAAAATCAAATGATTCCAATGCTAAATATCCTAAATTTCATTCAAAAAATTCTATATATTTCAATTACTAAGTCCAAAAAACAAAAGAATTCAATTGCTTAGTACAAAAAGCTAAAGTATTCAATTGCTTGGTCCAAAAAGCTATCAAATTCAATTGATTAGTCCAAAAAGTTAAAGTATTCAATTGGTTAAGTGCAAAAAATGAAAGAATTCAATTGTTAAGTCTAAAAAACAAAAGAATTCAATTGCTTGGTCCAAAAAGCTATCAAATTCAATTGCTTAGTCCAAAAAGCTATCAAATTCAATTGCTTAGTCCAAAAAGCTATCAAATTCAATTGCTTAGTCCAAAAAGCTATCAAATTCAATTGCTTAGTCCAAAAAGCTATCAAATTCAATTGCTTAGTCCAAAAACTAAAGAATTCAATTGCTTGGTACAAAAAGCTAACAAATTCAATTGCTTAGTCCAAAAAACTAAAGAATTCAATTGCTTGATACAAAAAGCTAACAAATTCAATTGCTTAGTCCAAAAAACTAAAGTATTCAATTGTTTAGTCCAAAAAACAAAAGAATTCTATTGATAAGTTCAAAAAACAAAAGAATTCAATTGCTAAGTCAAAAAAGCTAATTGTCAATTGCTTAGTCCAAAAAATTAAAGAATTCAATTGCTAAGTCCCAAAAAACTAAAGCTAAAGGCCACAATTGCTTAGTCCAAAGAGCTCAAGAATTTGACTGCTTTGTCCAAAAAGCTCAAGTGCTTAAAGCATAAAAACTAAAGGATTCAATTGTTTAGTCCAAAAAAGCTTGGTCCAAAAAGCTCAAGAATTCAATTGCTGAATCCAAAAAGCTAAATGATTCAATTGCTTGTCTAAAAAGCTTAAAGATTCAATTGCTCAGTTCAAAAAGCTCAAAAATTTGATTGCTTAGTCCAAAAGCTAAACAAAAGCTGAATGATCCAACATCTAGATGTCCTAACAGCTGAATGATTCAATTGCTACATGTCCTAAAAGCTGAATGAATCAATTACTTAATGGATTCGTTGATGAATGATTTTGTTTCAACAGATCAACTGGGAATCTTTAATTCAATCAGTGGTAATCAAATACCCCAAAGAAATTCATTCATTAATATAAAACACTGATCTTAAAACAAAATGAAACACCACATTCATTTGAAGAATAATGAAATCATAATCATAGGACAAATAATTACATAGCTCATTCTCAAGTGTAAATTCCACCTTTGATGTATAATACAGACTGATTCAAAGAAAGGCATGTATTGTAATTTGAAATTCATCAAGACAATGTGTATCAATGAGATTCCATACAGCAGTAGAAAGTGTTTTATATGTAAATATGATATAAATAACAGGAGTTTTTTTCTGGCAGATATTCTAAACTCTCCACTACAGTATTTACTATCATGTATATGTAAAACTTGAGCTAACAGTGTGCTACAATAAATAAAATTTAATAAAAAGCTTAGTAATTGAGAAACTTACACTTCTATTTGTATTGTTTTCTAAAATAGCACCAATAGATGGTATAGTTGAGATTCTTACTGCCCTGAATATAAAGATAAAGTCACATTCAATCCCAGCTAAATTCAACATGGTTTCATTTAAATTCCAACTGAGATTCAATCATAGATCCTAAATTTAAATCAATTTTGTTTTGAAATTCAGAAACAGCTTAAAATTGATTTATACCGAGAGAAAGGAATGGTCACCAAACCCACACATCAGAAAATATAATTTAAATTTATAAATATTGTGCATGGTAAGTTTCATTGAAATCAGATCAAATCTGAGACCGATTGGGAGTACAACTATACATACATCCTTATTATACATTGGGCATATTAAAACAGAAACATCCAGGTATATACAATGAAACCCCTCTAAACTGACAGCCCTCTAGACTCACAGGCAATACTGGCACCTCAGATAGAGTTACATATATCAGTCTACATGCCATTGTAAATAAATGTCACAAGAGTAAAGTTTAATCATGGAAACAATGTAATCAATTTTTTATTGGATTAGTGATTAATCGTTTACTTTGATAATTGATAGTTACAACAAGTGACTTCACTCAGAATACATGTATCCTTATAAAGTCTTTAAATAAACCAGGTTCACAGTTTGATATCATTTCAGATACCTCTTGTGTGAATATAAAATCACACTAACAGAGATAATAGGTCCTCAGAGTTTATTTATCATGATATTAAAGTATACTTACGTTTCAGGATCATTTGCTAGAGTAACTAGAGCTGGTACAACCCGAGTTGATATTAATATATCATCAATACCTTTAATCAGCAGCTATAAAATAAACATACATACATGTACATCATTACATGTTAGACCGACTTTCACTGTCAAATGATTGCAGTTATTCTTTTCAATCTAAGAATAGTGCTATACACTCTACTTTTGCACAGATCTTTGTCCTTTTAAGGGTGAACATAAAAAAAATCAATGAATTTCTATAAAAATCATATAAGACTCTATCAGAGTGTGAGTTATGGCTGTAAGTTATGAGGGAGGTAGTAATTATAGGCAGGGGTCTATAGATGTGCAAATCTAAGATTAAATTGTTGCTAAACAAATCTGAATGTGTGTTTTTGTTTTTTCATTGAAGTTCGAGGAGTTGACAACCTCTAACATACAGATTAGAGAAAACCAACCTACCTCAAACATTGAAGCTGCTGATGCTCTGACCAGAGGTGAAGAATGGACAACTCCATCCCATAATACTACTAGTAATAATTCATGATTTGATTCTTTCAAACTAAAAATAACAAATAAAACAAGGTGTAAAATTGTCAATCAAAGAGATTTTTTTCACGCCAGATTATGTCATAGAAATGAGGAGGTTCTTTCTTCTCGATAATCCAATTAGTATGGTCAATTTTATTAAACTATAACAGACTAAACAATGCAATAAACAGTGTTATTCTACAAATTGGAAACATGCATACGTATGGAAAAGTTCAATAAAATATTAAAGGGATGTTTAATACATGACACACTATTTACACTGTATTAATTCTCAATAATAACTTAAATAATATTCCTACCTTAACTCAGTGAAAGCTGATTTTAAGCCATCTAAAGATCCACGACAAAATGACAGAGTAAATAAAACTTTCTTTAAAAACTGAGATAAATATTCTTTATCTTTCTCCTGTAAAAAAAATGTGAATCCATCTTAAAAACCTTAAAAATCTAGTCAATATTATTCAAAATAATTGTTTGTATCTCAGTCATATTACCAATTTGCTTGACAAATCTGGCTCTATCCATTCCTTAGATGTGATATATGGATGGGATATCTGCATGTTTAGGGCCAGACATAAAATATAAATTTCAATAGAAATAGCTCTATTTTTGGATAGCTGGCAACTTTTGGTATCCATACAAAGCTGAACATCAAGACATTGACACTGGATATTTTAGATATATACAGTTGTGTAACCTATTTTCGTGGATATAAGGATTCAACACCGAATTTCGTCAAAGATAAAAAAACGAAATTTTTTTTTTATGTCTCAGATGTTTCCTCAGATATTCTATAAAATAATTAAAATTGGTTTATTTCGATTTTCTTTATGAATCCTTCATTTTGACCCATATTTCATGAGCAACCAACTCGGCAACGGCGGCAGAATGCGTCACCTATTTTCGTGTACAATGTTTGATCTATAAATAAGTCTAGAAAAACAAGTTGTATGGATACCGGGTGGTATAATTAACTTCTCTTAGTATTTATCTTTAATATCAATTCATTATAACTAGTGACAATTCCTTCAAAGAACTACGATTTAAAAAAAAATAGTTACTGATAAAATAAGATACGTAGCGTGATTATTGCTAAAAGTCACTTAAACAACATAAGAATATGGTCCACTTTGTGTTCCATAGAAATTTTCTGCTGACACAGAATCCGCTAGTTGATCACGTGACTTCATTCGTTGGAATATATTCTAGCAGACGACACTTGGAATTCCGATTACCGCTTGGGATTATAAGGAAATTCGGCCGATTAAAAATGGTGACATTTGGTAATAAGTGAAATCCGCCATTTTGTTTTTGTCAAAGTATGCATTAATACATTTTACCTTGGATTAAACTAATGGATTCATTCTACTAGCTGATATTGTAGAGAAAACCCATGTTTATCAAAACGAGCAAATGCGGAGGTCACGCGAGGTCGCACATGTAAATTATTAATCCTTTCCGGAAATCCACGAATAATAGGTTTCCACGAAATTAGGTTACTTGACTGTACTAAATAGGAATATAGAATGAAGGATGCAGCCATGAAGTTTATAATGATAGAAATGGTACAGTAATCATTATACAATTATTATTAATGTGAATACTATGAAATAAACTGATCAGAGAACAGTGTCTTTCCCGCTGATAAAATTGGTTTAGCCTTCCTAAACAGATGAAATGATAACAATAGCCTATTGGCCTATAAATGATAGCAGTACTTACTGAATGAAACAATGACAAAACTCCAACACTATAAACAGGTATAATACAACTAGTTAACGCTGTATGACCCAAATTAACCTGATAATCTGTAATCAAAATATTTCATTTCATTATCAACCCAGCTATTTTTTCTAATATAACAAGACACACTTAAGGCCCTGTCACACTATAGCGTTTTGTTGGACGTTTGGTTGTGTTTTGAAAAATCGGAGAAACGTTGGGGAATCTTGACGTTCTTCAAATTAAGTTTCTAGGTCAACGTTGTTATAATGTTCTTGTAACGCTTAGGTAATGCTCTCGACCGTCTGTAATTGTAGATGCGCTCCTCCTGTGATACACCACGGAGACTGTAGGGTTTCATCATATAGGATCTCAGGGCAAAGGCGTCATCTCCAATGTAGAAGTATGGAACATTTGGAGTAAATTGTGGGAGAGGCTGTAGAAACCCACTCAGGTCTTCTTCAGCTCCATGTTTCAGCTCACTGCAGTTGTAGATGTGGATATCTGATGCTGATCCCAGGCCTCCAAGATCTGCCCACACGAATTTGTAGTCAGAATCCACAAGGGACAAAAACCTCTTGTAGTTGTAGTACAAGAAGCCACGGTCTGGAGGACATCTAATGACCACATGCTTGCCATCCAGAGCTCCCACCTGATAGAATCTGTCAGCAACTTCCTTCCACTCTTGTGGCGTACTCTGGCAGGTCAGCATCTCATCCAGGTACTCATCAAGTATGGCATGGCAAACCTCTCTGCAAGGAATAGCTGTCCCCAGAGGCAAGGTGTCACAGTCAGGGCAAGTTTTATACCAGGGACGAGGGCTGGTCTAAAGCCAGTATCCTTCTTGCTGATCCTGGGACCAACTCTCTGTCTCAGCTCATCAAACATCTCTGGTGGCATGCACAGGAAGTTGTGGAAGGAGGCTTGGTTTTCAGCTCTGAGTCCAGCCATCAGCTTGTCATAAACACCAAACTTCCTCCCTCTCCTCTTCCTTTTCTTCTTGGACTGCCTTGGACATCTTGGCCTGGTGCAATGCCAACTGCAGGAGGTTGTTGTGATGCATGAGAGCAGCAACAGCATACTTGTGTTTCTCTTGATCTGTAATTCTTCTGAGGTCTTAACTCTGGCGGTGGCAAGCCCCCTATATATGGCAAGTAGTTGCCAAACGCTCCTGAATGCTACCAGTAGTTTACAGGTGCATTACAAAGACGTTACACAGATGTTACACAGACGCTGGAAAAATTCAGAACACCGATAGACGTTAGGAAGACGTTAAAAGAGCGTTACATGAGTGTTATGCTGAGAAACATTGGCGACACGCTCGACAGACACAGGCGTTACCCAAACACTAGCCACGCACTGGACACTGGATCCTGATGGGCCGACGACCGTCTTGCGTCCAGGGAACGTCCTTACTTTCGAGTAACGTTCGAGTAATGACAGGCTACTTTCGTGTAAATTATTTTGACTGACTAATCTGAAACTGAATAATTTTAAATCTAGATCTGAATGTACTATAATTGTTCTTACCTAAAATATCATCTGGTAAACTAACTAATTCTTCAAACTTTGGCTTCACCTAAAATATTTCAATAAATCTTTATTTTTTGTGTATCTCTGACCTCCCACTACTGTCATGTGTTAAAATATTAAAAATTCAGCATGAAAGCACATGAAGAGCTATAAGGAAAGATAGCTTTGCCAGGCAAGGTATATTGATTTTGAACACAAATATTTAGCAGTACAGTAACAATCACCAGTATGAAATATTCAACCTTAAGTCATACACTTCTTTTGAACTCTTTAGGGTGATACTGAATAATATTGAGTATGAGTTATTGCCCTACGTGTTCAATCTTTACCTCGTGAAAACTCTAGAAGGCAAATATTAAATCTTCAGCGCAATAATGAATAATAAAACCAAGTTTTGTCAAAATTCAGCAAGAATCAAGTTTTTATGAGCTACAAATTGAACGATTTTTCAAGATCAAGGGCAATAACTCATACTAAATATTTTTTTTCCGATTTATCTGATTTTCAATAGGCTTTATCCTTTGGTGACAACAAACACTCAAGCCAAATTTCATTAAAATCCATGTGCATTCTAGAAAGTTTACAAGCTAAAAATTGAATGCGTTTTCAAGAATAAGGACAGTAACTCATACTCAATATTTTTAGATTCTTCTGATTTTCAATAGGGTTCATCCTAAGGTGATAACCAACACTCAAGCCACATTTCGTTAAAATCAAGAATTGTCCCTTCTAGAGTGTTTACAAGCTAAAATTTGAACGTGTTTTCAAGAACAAGGGCAATAACTCATACTAAATATTTTTCAATTTTTCTTTTTTTCAATACAGTTTATCCATGGGTGATAACCAACACTCATGACAAGTTTCGTCAAAATCCGTCTAGAATTGTGCCTTCTAGAGTGTTTACGAACTGAAAATTGAACGCGTTTTCAAGAACAAGGGCAATAACTCATACTAAATATTTTTCAATTTTTCTGATTTTCGATAAGGTTTATCCTTGGGCGATTACGAAGACTCTTACCAAGTTTCATCAAAATCCGTCATGAATTGCACCTTCTAGAGTGTTTACGAGCGTTTCAAGAACAAGGGCAATAACTCATAGTAAATATTTTTCGATTCGTATGATTTTCAATAGGGTTCATCCTTGGGTGATTACAAACAACCATACCAAGTTTCGTCGAAATCAGTCAAGAATTGTGCCTTGTAGAGTGTTTACGAGCAATTGTGGACGGACGGACGGACGGATATGGGTGACGGCAATATACGCCCCCCATTTCATGTGGGCGTATAAAAATGGAAGATAATTCTAAAGTTGAATCTTGCAAGCAATCTTTTATTGTCAGGTAAAAATTGTAATCTGTGAATACAACCCACCTTAGTTCTGGTAAATGTTTCACCAAATGTTCTACATATTCTATGTATCAATCTACTTAAAGCACTTATGACTTTATGAAATGAAAGCCCAATACCCTCTGTTATATCTAATAAACGAGGTATACTGAAATATAAACAGGTCAAAAATATTTTTCAATAGAATGACTGTAAAAAGCTCTGTTTGTCTATATTTGTAACCAGAAAACAGATCCAAAGATACATATACATGGGACAATGTGAACATGGAGTTTTCAAATGTGTATATTTGGGATACTTTATCAAAATGATCATTTATCAATAAGTTACTTGTACCATATGACTAAATATCATAATTGATGCCTTCAAATGTCTTATCAGTTCACTGTGCTATAAAGCAGCTGGTAAAAACCATTCTGTAATAGAGTAACTTAAAACAACAGTAGTACTTACAAATTATTTACAACCCAGTTCAATTGGTCCCATGGTTCATACCATTCTTCACTGATATAATCTTCATATAGAGATAATAAATGATAGAGATATTGTTTATCTCCTATTATTATATTAATATCTGTTAATTTACAGCTAGATACAGGAAATCTATCATCTGTAAATATAGTACTAATATATTACAATCCTCTACAGACAAAGTCTGACCAAATTCTAATCTTGTTTTCAAAAACATAACAAACAGTTACCATTGAGTTTTTTATGCACAATACTCGTTATTAGATACAAAGATTCATTTTCCTTAAAAATTCTACCATGTCCTTTAACTATGAAATACAACCTGACCATTACAGTAGGAAATTAGATGCAAATAATAGGAAATTCTTAGTGTCCAACAAGATTGATCTTAACTTATAGTCTAACTGAAGTTCACATAATTCACCAAACTCTAGTTTCAGAGAACTCATACTTAATACTCACAGATATTTTTCTTCTTCAAAAACAATTCATTTAAAATTTGTTGCAATTGAGAAATTTCACAATAGAAATGGGAGTACATGTATCACAAATGTTCATCATAAAATATTTAGAGAAATTAGGTTTAGAATCCAAAAAAAGGACTTAACAATATATCGTTTAAATTGTGGGTTTATCACTTAAATAGTCAAACACTTGATGTAAATTAACAAAGATATCTAACCTTCATCAGGTTCTATATGCTTCTGTGTTTTTAATTTCTTAAGAAAAGGACCAGATTCTAGGACGGATAAAAACAGGAATGGTACTAATTCTTGTAGTTGAGATACTAATAATAAAAAGCGATGTTCATCTAATGGTATATTGGTACAGGTTGATGATCTCTGTGCTGCCACAACACCCTGTAAAATTTAAAACACCACTTAAAATTCTTACTTCCTTGAATATCATTACTTACATGAGAGCTAATACTGAGCACACTATCTCCCTGATAACAATTCTGATACATTTATTTAATTTTACCCTTATTTGTGGTATATTATAATATAACTTAATACAATTTGTTTGTTTAGAAAAAGCCAGAATTGTGTTTGGAAGTATATATTGGAATTTGCGAGTTCATCAAATGCAAAAGATGCATTTCATCTATTTAACAAAAAAATATGATATACACTTTTTCAAGGCTGAAATGATTAGATTGCTCAGTATCTAGCTAACACGTAATTATTTTTATGTTAGTCATTCCACAACGATTCCATGCTTTGCCCAGTTTTAGTTAAGCAACCACTGACTGTTAAGCTATTCTTCCCAAAACCAACCAATTCTTATGATCTTATAGATAATTCACTACATAAAGATGATATGAAGGGGCAAAACAATCTTTACCAGCTGTCCAAAAATGTAAATTGCATCTACACTGTTAGATCAGAAACATGTTTTTGAATTTGGCTTAATAAATGAGTATTGACCAATGAAACTTACTGAGTTTTGATTGGATGTATTAGTATTAGTAGTTACAAGATGACACGGTATGTCCTGTTAGTTTGAATATAGTTAAAATACAATTAAACTACTATAGTGTATAACTATTGTTAAACGAAATACTATAAAGTACTTAATTTATACAAACACAGATACAACTTAATTAACTTTTACAAATACATAAATTACTAGTATAGTTGAAATACTTGAATTGATAATATTTACTTTCTAAAACACATTTAGATTTTATTGGTGAAAAAAAGGAAGTGACAGTAAAGTAAAGACCAAAACCCAAAACATAAATAAAGCCTCTAAACAGAACCTAAAATATTTGTTCATGCTTATCTTTAAAATAGTGGACATTTTTTAACAGTTCTGATATTTTATTACCCCAGAAATAAAATGAGAAAGTTATCAACGACACATAAAGATTCAAAATAATCTACACCAGAAAGATATTTATATTAACTACAACAGGTATATACTCATTATACAATACATTTAAAAGATTATCTACTGGCTTAAGATTAATAAAATTCATCAAAATCTTCAACATCCATCTTCTTTAAATTAAATTATGTTTCACTTGAGGAAGGAATGCAGGAAAGCATGTCTCTAAATGATATATGAAGAATAAAAAAACCTACACAAACCAGCACCAATAGAATTTCATCATCAACATTCATAAGGCTAAATGATTTCTACTTTTAATTGTGGAATTGAGAAATTTTTAATTAATAAATTTGTACAAATTATATTGATTCAAGGTTAATGCCAATATTAAATATCATCAAAATATACTTTAAAAATTCAGCTGATAGAGCTCATTTTCAGCTTTTTTTTTAGCACCATTGTGGGCAAAAATATCAGCAAAAGTGACAACAACCTAGATATCAAGCCCTTGAAACATTTTCGCAAACAGTTTTTATCACTGACATTTTCTTTGGAGAATGTTTATAACAACTTTGATTAAGAGTATATCTAGTCTATCTTTGAGATAAGAAGGAATCAAAAAGTTATGAATGTTGTTTAAACAATTGATATCTTGAACCAGTAGATCAGGAAGCCAGTGTGTAGAAGAGGAAATAGCCACAAAGATAAAAATGGAAGTGCCTTAACTATTTCCTCCAGTTCTCGTAAAATAGAATGTAAAAGATGATGTTCAAGTTTGCCCAATTCGTACGACCAGCTGGCAAAAGATGGTAAAAAGACATGTAGACAAGCTGTTAAAACTTTCTCTGAACCATCTTTAAATGATTTCTTTAACAATTCAAATCCCTGAAATAGAGAATAGGTGTATGCACAATACCCTTTAATTTTACATTAAAATGACTATAGAGGTGGTAATAAACCAAACTTTATAATCAGTTTTCTTATCAACTTCTATCAATTTTTTATATGCCTAACAAAATTTCAAAAATATTTAAAAGATGGCATAAGAACTGTATAAAATAAATCTGTTGGAGATTGTGTAGATATAATTTTTAGAAAGTACAAGAAAGCAAAGAGCAAGGAATTTAATTACTAACCTGGATATATTTATCATTATCACAGATAAAACCTAACAATAAACCTAAACTACGAACTACAGCCTCACGAACATCTTCATCTTTATCTTCTTCTAACATCTGAGTTAACATGGATAGTAATAGTGATGATCTGATTTCAGCCTGAAACAATATCAAAATATATTACACTACTTATGAGGTTCTATATGCTAATGTTACATGCAAACAAGTATAGATATCTCTATATGGCCAATGATTGATACTAGTGACAAACTTATATTTTCATGCCATTCTTTCTTCAGAACATGGAAGAATGCCGTTTGTAAGTGACTTTTTCACACCATCAAATAGAATCGGAAGGATCAATAGAATTATATACATGATAGACCTAATAGTCTTAATTACATGATAGAAAGAGAAGGATCAAATTCTGAATGTGAAGTAAGAGTAGGAGAAAAAAACAACTTACTGTAAGATAAGAAGATAAAGCACCACAAGCCTCAGCCACTAACAATCTTCTTTCTACATATTTATGACTAATCTGTAATATTCAAAATACACATAAAATGCGTTTAATCAGTAAAAATATACAAGTGAGGTTCACGTAATGATAATATCACAATAAAATTCATGCAACATTTCTTATAACATTATAACATTATAAAATATAAACAGATGGGTTTTTCAAAAAATCTACTTCAGTTTCACACAAAAACTAGAGGAAAACATGAAGTATGAACAAGGATATGGACATTCAAAGCATTACTCAACATTACTTAACACTTCTGTACTAACCTGTTCCCAACATTGTGGTAATAATTCTGTTTCTAATCTCGTAGGACCCACAGTTTCAGCAAAAGCTATACAACCTGTTAGTATCATTTGCCTAAAAAAAAAGAATTAATATACATGTAAGATGACATGATAGAATAGTATAGTATCGTTTATTTATCATAAATTTGACCTGAGAAAGCAATGGACTCCTTCTGTTTCAAATGAAATGAAACGAAATGAATGGAGTTTTACGTCCTACTTTTCTGCACCATGTGTGCTTCAAATTAAACCCTAGCTAGATATCTGTAAATAAAACGGTTGTAAATCTGATTATACTTTAGTCACAGACTCACCTTTGTTCATCATCAGGTTTTTTAATCAAATTAAACAAAATATTTAATAAATTGTCTCTTTCTTTACTATCTGTATGTAACATAGCTGTACAGATAATAACTGGTATTAATTCCTATATAAATAAATAAGAGCTTAAAATTCACTTAAGAATTTGGGTACATATGGAAAGAAATCAAACAATGGTTAATATATGCCAGATATGTGTTTTCTGACTATACTATGTATGATATAAGGAAATGCCATAATCATTCCACAGCTCTATTTCCTATTTTAATACAACCAAAAGCTCATCACACTTGACTCACTAGCGACAGAACTTATTATATTTAATTGTACAAAATGTGTGACTATAATTCAATAGTTTCAATGTGAAATTGGCCTAGTTTGCAAAAAAAGCAGAGAATAGATAAATTTATAATGATCTTACCTCACGTTTAGCTAACAATACATTAGGTACAATATGTGGTAAACATCTAGCTAGTAATCTTATAACACCTTCATCATCTATATTATTAATCTTACATACTTCTTGTGTTATTCTATTATCATTAGATACATGGAATGCTACCTCTCGTAGAGCTTTACAGAATGAAGCTGCCATTTTTCTACAACATTTTTTATATCAGACATTTGCATGAAGTAAATTACTACTTTCAGTATAAATATATAAATTGTAAGACATGGTTTGAAATACACTATTTAATGTGTAATGTAGTGTTCTCTATAGTGAAATCAACAGAAACTTGGGAGAATCACACGTATCAACTAGGTCATAGACATAATCAATCACTACATGTATCAAATTATGTTGATATCAATGGTTCAAGGTTGACAATTGTTTTGTTCAATTAATATAATATATATGATTAAAGCAAAAATATCCTTCTGCTGTAGATGGAAATGAAATAAATGAAATGAAATAAATGAAATGAAATGGACTTTTACGTCCTACTTTTCAGCACTTTATGGGCTAATGAAGATGTGGTGGAGATGAAAGCTCACTCAAATCATCTGATATAAACACAATATAACTACCTGTTACATGATGTATCTACCAAAGTTTTATCCTGATCTTTATATTGCTGTTTATTTCCACTGCCTTCAGCATCAACTACATCTGTTTTTATTTCATCATCTAACCTTAAACTGTCTTCCATATTACCATTTGTTACTATAGTAACATCTTCATTAATATCACTACCAGGTGAATTTGTCTCGCTGTCTGTGATTGGCTGATAACTAGCTTCAGAATCAGTCATAGTTGGTGTTTCCGAGATATTTGTAAAACTTGTAGAACTAGTTACAGATTCTGAACGGTTTGATTTAGGGGGTGCAGGCATGGAATGGAGGGGAATGTTTCTGTTTGGTCCCCTAAAATAAAACCAAAAAATAATATCAAATATTCATAGTTATATTTATATTTATCAGTGCAGAGCCAGATATTAAAACTAGTTCCACAAGGTATTCTTTTTTACAATAAATAATGACAATCTATGTGTGAATTCAGAAAACTTACATTTTTAGAATTTTAACTTGTTCAGCCAGAATATCTCTTTCTTGTAGTAGCATCTGTAACTCATCTTCTAAGTCATTGATTCTTTGTTCCTAAAGAAAATGTTTCTATCACAATCCATATAACTTTGCAAAGAAAGGGTATGAAAAGATTTCATGATGAACAATGCAGGTCCTAATTCAACCCTTGTTATATTTCAAGAAAATTTCAGATTCAGAACTAATACTCTAAGTATGTTATGAATTAACATCAATATCAATATTAACAGGCTAAAGTATATTTTATAGAAATATCTCTGACATATATATGGTAAGGTGTTGATTTAGCTATCTCTGGTTGTAGTTTCCAGACTAATTTTTATCAATAAACTTGATAACAACTATGAGTTTTCTTGCCATAATGTTAAGCAACAAAAGAACCTTTAAGTTGAATACTGGTTCTAATTACTACTTACTAATTGTAATTTACAGTTTGTCAAATCAACCTCCATTTCTTCAAGATGTTCATCTACCATATCAGTTTCACAACCAAAATCTCTAGTTTCTTTACTAGGTATAATGTGATTACCAAAATCACGAAATAGTGATAATAAGTCTGGTGGTCGTGATACATTTAACCCAACATCGTCCCAATCTTCAAAGTCCTAAAAACATTCCAATCAATTAAATACATCATACTTTTTTAATGTCTAAAAGATTATATCTAATTCACAAGGCAAAAAATTCCAGACCAATTCATTGAGAGTCCATCTTTCAATCATCAGTACTTAAGTGTAGACTGTCATCTTACCTCTTAACAAACAGACCTATATTACTCTCATCTCAATATTTTGAACAAAAAAATGTCAATAGTGTTATGCTGCAGGAATATATGTCTACTGGCTCAAAATTTTGAAATTTACTTGCGACCACTGATGGCTCAATAAAGCTGTAACTATTAGACAGCAATTTGTTCATTCATCGATCAACAAAACACAGAAAAAATACACATAGCCAATCATTTTAAAAAGAAAACTGACCTGTTCCTCATTTTCTTCAGAGAAAGTGACTGCTGTTAATTTATAGTTATTTAGTAACAAATATTCATTCACTAGAAAGTTTAAAGCTCTATTCTCCATGGGTCTCATCACATCATCAGTAGCCATACCTTGACTAGTATCAGTAAATTCTGGTGTTACCATTTCTTTCTCTATAAAATAGACACAATTTATAATTTGTAAAGATAAATACAATTCGTAAAGATAGCTTGCCAGGCAAGGTAACATTTATAAAATGATAAAACAGTCTTTAGTGAATAAAGTACGAATTTTCTCACATTAAAGAAATTTTAATAGTTTGTAGTAATTCCACAAAATTGTTTAAAATCAATATCCCAAATACATCAAATTATTAAAATCACACAGCTCTAATATCAAGGGCAAAAAATTATTAAGAGTGAAATCGTTGAAAATTCAAACTTGACCAAGATCTCATCAATATAAATAAAAACTCCATTCATTTCATCTCATCATCATAAAAATCACATGAAATCAAGGGCAATAACTCAAAAGATTGTCAAATTTGAACTTGACCAGGATCTCATCAATATGAATGGTCACAACAAATTTCATTAAAATCAGTTGAAAACTGTAGTCTCTAATGTGTTCACAAACAAATTTTAATGCACTTTTCCTAAGTCAAGGGCAATAACTCCATGTGCGTATAAAAATGCTCTCTTTGGAAGAAAATCTAAGTTTATGTGTTATAAAGACAACAGGCAAACCTGGATCACATAATTTTGCAAAAATGAAGACTACAGCTATTTGCTAGTGTAATCAAGTTATAATATTTTAATAAGTTATTTCATAATAATTGAAATTACTGGGATAGTTCAAAGCATTGTGTGAAAGACATGTAGCAAGTATTAATAAAATTCCAAATTCATAGGCACGCACTAACATAAAGTGTTATATTCTCTAGTTTGGCCTGGCCTTGTTAATCAGCACCAAGTACTTTAATGTAACAGACGGAAACAAATTCTATCCCCTGTGTAAGTTATTGGCCAAAATTTCTATTAAAACTTATATCATAAATATATTATACTGAAGGGTGCGGTTTAATAAAGAACTACTATAATCTTTAGTTAAATGCCATAGAAAATCAATAAACTCTTGATTATACTTATATATTAGTATGATAAACATGAAAACTATTCTCCAATACAAACCTGCCTCTCTTGTTAAAGTAGCTCTTAATGAGCGAATAGTTTCATGAGCTTTTCTTAATTCAAATTCCAAGACTGAAAAAAAAATCGTAATCTTTTATAACTTTTATTGATAGAATAACTTTATATAGGCCTAAAGATCAGACATGCTTCACTAAATAGTGGATGCAGATATATTAAAGGACAGATGCAGCTTTTCCAGGAGTAAACCATTCCTTGGTCTCAGAAATATGAATTGTTCCACAGCTTATCGTGGAAATTTGAGCCATCCTAGTATAGTCATAATTATCTATCTAATATCTATTTCATAACTTTTGGTTAGAACACTCACCAGCAACTCTCTCATCAACTTGTCTCTCTCCATCATCAGAATAACGAGCAAAATCCAATGAATCAAATGTCTGAACACTTGAAGTCCTTGCTGAAAAATATTTATATTTAAAATTCACATAATGCTATTATAGACAAATTCATAAGCTTATACCATGCTTTAGGAATTCAACAGAGGTCTCCTAGCCTCTGAATATGTATTGAGGACACATACAGCTTCTATTGGCACCATTCTGATTTCTAGTCTAATGACTGGGGATCATCAAAGTGAAATGATATCTTTAATAGTGATGTTATGATGTTGTCAAGTTTATTGGAATATAAGAACCAGAGATGTTGAACGAGCTCTATTTTACCCCATTACATCTAAAAACCTCTTTTTGACAGCATTTCGGGCTACTGTAAATGAAACTGTACAGTACTGTAGTTAAATTTCTTTGTGTAAATTGAGTTTGTACAGTAGATATTGATAGCTGTATATCCATTTAATATAAGTACTATATGAGTTAATCAGCAACTATAAGCTTATTATTTTGATAATGATAAACTATTTTACTACAAACTGCACACACAAAATGTATTTCATACAAAGTTTTACTGGTTGCTATTAAATGTGCTATTTAATAGTAAATACTTAAACTTTATTGCTCATGAGCTTCAGAAATATTTCTGGGTATGAAAGTAAGTATAAACTTCGAAACTAATGTTAGTGAATGTAGGGTATTATAGTAAATAGTGCAAGGACAGACAATATAACCATCAGTTTACATAAAGATCTTTAACATAATAACAATTTGATTTTTTTAAATACATAATAAAATGTGTAAAAAAAAACTTGCTAATTGTAGCCATCTAATCTATGCTTGAAAAATATATTTAAATTGAACAGTATCAGAAATTTTGAGATTCTACACCAAAAAAGTAATTGATTTGACTTAATTCAATTGTTTTATTGTGACATTTTTTCTGATATAATTAGCTTCTCTTTAAAACTTACATAACGATTTGAATCAAGCTGATTACAGAAAATAAAGAATATGTCTCAAATTGTCACTAATATAATTACAGAATTTAACCAAAGAAAAAAGATTCAATGCAAAGGAAGGAATGTAGGGTAAAGTAAGGCAAGGTCTATGAGAGTAGGTCTGTCTCTAAATATGTTTAAAAGAGTTACCATAGCAATTGGGTAATCAAAGATGAAGCAATTTTGCTCAATTCACCTTTTCAATTAATTTGATATTTTTTGATAAAACATTTTCTGTCATTAAATGTATTGTAATGACAGAATGATGTATGATATATAATTTTTTACTTTTAATTTCCATTTGACATTATCAAACTTTAATTTTCATAAAAAGAATTACCACGGAATTTCACTAATGAAGAATCTGCCTGATTTTCTGTAAAATAGGAATCATGACAGGATATTATTCTAAGCAATAGGCACATATGATTATATGAACATGGAATACTAGAATTACAGAGTAGTCGATAAAAATTAAGATAAAAACAAAAAATACAAGAAGTCTGGAAGAGTCCAAAAAATACTAAATGTATCTCCCAAGTTAATAGGTCTAATTCTAATTAAACACATATTCAATTAAATTCCCACTCTGCCACAGAAAGGGTTTGTATGGAACATCATTGTGTCCAAACCACGCCTTCATTCGTCATACTTTCTTGAGACTATGGTAGTGGTGGGAAAAATTACGTATTCATAGATAAATATTGTCCAATCAAAATTGGCCCTAATGTATTGGTAGCAAAATTTCAGCCAATCAAGACATATTACTTACTATGACACTTTGTTTGCGAACGAACGTAAACAAAATGAAAGCAGCATGTCATTAAATGTTTAGATAAATGTGGACGGTACAGAATTGAGTAAGATTTTCGGTAAAGAATGGAAGCAGAGAGAAAGTTAAAACCTTACATGACCTCATTTCCTCTCTAATGATCTGATTGGTCAGATTTAAATACCGCCAATCTGATTTCCACGCCCACAAAACAAAGTGTACTGGGTTTAGTTTTAATACAGGTTAATAAGACTTGTCATTCGTAATACGATGTATGGAACATCTACTCCATAATCACAGTGGAGAATTTGCCAATCATTTCTATATGAATCAAGTATATAATTCATTAGATTGAAAGTGATACTCCTAGGCTATAAAATTTTTGAAATCATTGGATATCATAATTATTTATCAACTATTAAAAAATTATCTCAAAATTTATTTTTTAAAAAGAGTGAACATTAAGCTGAAAGTAGGAAATGTAGGCTATAACTACACCTGTGTTTAGTGTTTAGGCCAGAAAATAATTATCATGTATACAATCTGATTCAAGATGTTTCTGATATATTTTTCATGTCATTCACACATGATCTGAAAGTTCTTGGTCATATCATATAAAACCAATCAAATGTTCTTTAATGTCTTATTGAATTATGGGATATTCTTAGTTAACCATTAACTTGTGATGTCGGTCCATTTTTACAGTCTTTTTGGCTCTTTTGGGGAGAGTTCATCAGAACACAATTTAAAGGAGAATTTTGTGTAATTGTATGACAAGTGAGTGAGTGGCAGAATGTAGAATCTGAGAATCGTGTTTTAGTTAGACATATTACGAATAAATGATAATTCGATACACATGATGCATAATGCAATCCTTTGAATTGAAATATACATACGTAGTGTAGGTGAAGGACTGTCATCTTTGGTTCTTTCAAAATTTCCAGGATTTGAAAAGTAATCTCTCAATCGAGGTAGTTCTCGACCAGTTTCTACCAATTCTGTGTGCAGCTCTAAAGCAGTCAGTATGTAATTATCCCCCAATAACTTAGCAGCAATGGAGTCCCAAGATATATCCGGTGCTTCCTTCTTTTCCGATTGTAATTGTTGGTTGTCTTCTGTGGGTGTTTCAGTGCCTTCAAATTCATTTTCAATCAAATCTTCTTCGAATGGGTTTAGACCATCCGCCATTTTGTTGATCACGTGGGTTGCATTTTCAAAACATTGTAAAAATGCACAATTGCATATAAAGAATCTGGATGATTGTAAGATTAATGTAATGTTTTTTTTTATATTGATTGAGAATAATATTAGACTGTCATATTATGATTAATATGTTGAATTGTTGATATATTACAGAAAGTGGAAATAAAACGTGATCAATAACAGTTTTTGTTACAAATACGTACTCATTGTTACGTGCAGACTTTCTGTTAAAGCTGTTCGTCGGTTTGTTAGAAAGCACTTGACTAAATTGCTAAAAGGACTTCCTAAGTGAAGTTTGAAATAACTTTGTTTCATTTTTAAATACACGTGTAACATGATTGTATGGTAAATCTTTAAGATTTTTAAAAAAGGTTTGGTCTGATAAAAACGTTTTCCATAAACAGTACAATCACTCAAGATTCTTATAGATTTAACTTCTAATGTCTATTACTGTTTAATAGTATTACTACAACTATTTTCATAGTGGTAAAATGGGAATTAGGGGCGATATTGTGAGCAGACACCAACCAGGATGAATTCCCTAACATCTATACTAAACGTTTGGTGACTGCTTACAAAATCCATAGTAGATTAGATCCCCTTTCATTAACTCCCTGAAACAATCGCTTTGCATTTCTGAATTACTCGTTCTCTTGTAAATCTCCAGGATTTGAAAAGTAATCTCTCAATCGAGGTAGTTCTCGACCAGTTTCTACCAATTCTGTGTGCAGCTCTAAAGCAGTCAGTATGTAATTATCCCTCAATAACTTAGCAGCAATGGAGTCCCAAGATATATCCGGTGCTTCCTTCTTTTCCGATTGTGATTGTTGGTTGTCTTCTGTGGGTGTTTCAGTGCCTTCAAATTCATTTTCAATCAAATCTAAATAAAACGTAATCAATTAATCTATTACTGTTGAATAGTATTACTACAACTATTTTCATAGTGGTAAAATGGGAATTAGGGGCGATATTGTGAGCAGACACCAACCAGGATGAATTCCCTTACATCTATACTAAACGTTTGGTGACTGCTTACAAAATCCATAGTAGATTAGATCCCCTTTCATTAACTCCCTGAAACAATTATCGCTTTGCATTTCTGAATTACTTGTTTGTCTTGTAAATCTCTCCAGAAGTAGGTAATTTTCTATCAAATGGATGTATTCCAATCCCGAAATTCACAGTCCGTACTTGTGACCTAGCCCAGTGCTTCTATAACTAAGAGAACCTTAAACAAGAAGAAATAGCCGACCCGAAATTATACTGCTTTCATGGAATCAGATATTGTTCACTTGTCAAGGAGTCTCACCAGAAAGCTTATCAATTCAATGTCGAGATTAAATGTCAAAACAAGACACTGGATTAAAATGATTAGCCTAGCCGCGATGTTGATTATGATACCGGTAGCTTAATGGATTAATATCATGATTAATAATAATTTACTTTGATTGTCTGTCAGATTTGGCAGTCAAGTCTGACTAAAGTTTTTATAGTACAGTTTAATCAGCCATGATATTGAAATGAAGTTAATTGGTGGTTCGGCGTTGAGATAGAAACAACTTTCAGTTTGATAATTTCTCTACACCTATCCATAGAACCACTAATCTAAATAAATAGTATATAGATCGTTGTATAGAACTGGTTGGGTACGTTTTGTGTCCAAAATTAGGTAACGCGAGAAAAACGCGGGAATGCATGAAAGACAAAATGGCGCAGTCAAAAGTGAATGACTACTTCGTCGCCAGAAAGAACTCGAAAGGTACACAACAATCCAAACGAAGAAGGATAGAAGCAAACCAAACTGACGATGACATATCAGTGGTCAAACGGAGCCTTAGGTCATCAAGTGCAACCATCTCGACTGTTAATAATGACTCTGAAACGATTACTAAATCTGTACCGGAAGTTGTTTTAAAATGTAAACAAAAAACTAAACAAACGACAACAGTAAGAAAAAGAGGTCGACCGGCGAAAACAGTTGTTCCAGATGATCAACAACTAATAACTATAGCTTTTTCGCCAAAGGAAAGTCCAATCCTTCCAGAATCTGTGCCCACTCTTTCAAAATTAACACCAACCTTGATAAATTCTCAACAAGAAGTGGCTGAAAATACACCAACTAAGAAATTGGTGGAAGAGGAGTCTATAATTGTAAGCCAACCACGTCGCAGAAAAGAAAAAATCATAGATGATTCTCAGTCAACACCTGAATCAATTCCAGAGCCTAAATCTAAAGTGAAGAGTGCAACAAGTGTTCGAAAACAATTGCAGTTGTCATCGGAAGAAAAGGTGACCTTGGATTTTGTTTTTAAGGCAGTTTATCAGTTTCAACTAAATTTATTTTGTGTATTAACTTATATATAAGTTTTTGTACCCGGTAAATTAACAATAGTGCAAATGTCATTTTGATATTTTGAACAGATTAAGCTTACCAAGATGATTATTAGTTGTATAGATTTTCAAGTGAATGATTCAAGAATCACAACTGTATGATGGAACTGACCAATCAGTGACAAAGTCTTTCAAATCACGCATAGACATAGAGGCTCAGATTTGATTGGGAGGATAAGGATATCTCATTGATTATTTCCCATTATAATTCCTGTCAATTGCTGTTGTCTTGCATCATCTCTTTGAGTGCAACTGTTCCTCTGCCTATGATCAACAGAAGGCAGCACAGGATCATTTCATTTTAAATAGTTTATTTCATTCCTTACAAAATTTTCAATTTAAGGCTATTCTAGAAAATGAAAAGTCAGAAATTAATGGTTTGCTTCAGAATGAATTGTTACCAAAAATATCTCCACTACCAGCAACACCAAAATCTGCCACACTTCAGCAATCGAAGGGTCCAGAGTTACCATCATCACCTAAGGTAAAAGCAGCCATAGAAAAATGTAAAGTACTTCAACAAACTTCAACTAGACAGAAACCATCCTTGGAAGAGGTAAAATTAGTTTATTAGTTTTGAGGTCAAAGGAAAACCAGTCTATCCTACCATTGACGATAAATAGTAATATTTCACGTAGGTAGTGTTATGTTCTTTTATTTTCTCCCCATAGAAAATGCAGCCAGAAAATCTTAAAAAGCAACTAAAGAAATGTGGCAAACTGGAAGAGTTAAAGGCACATCTGCTACAAATGAATAAGACCATACAGAAAACAAAAAAGACACCAAAATTAAAGACTTTTTCTGAAGTGAAAATACCATCACCCTTAAAAACAGAAACAGCAAGGTAATAGTTTTGTCTGCAGTGGTTTTACATTACTTGAGTCTTAAAGTGATTTATTTGCTTGAGGACAGTAAATGGCCATAGTCTAATGATTCTTTTCACAAGAAACTGCCTTGAATTATATCAGAATAAAGTAACCTCCACCCTTCTTTATTTTACCAGCAATAGTACTTATTCTTAAATCAATATTTAAGTCTACCCATAGATCGAGAGGTTGAGTGACATTTTCCAAGTCTGCTAGGAAAAAAATCAAGACTGAAATATGAGGGTTTGCAGCTGTTGCGGATTCCTTTAGTAGAAAGACATTTTATTCATAGTAATATCATAATTATTTCAGCATCAGCACAACTAAAGAAATAAAAGTTCCGGCCTATGAAAAATATCATTCATTAGCTTCTCCACCTGCACCTACTCTTAATTTACCTTTAAAATATAAAAGATTGGCTGAAATTTTCCGATCAATGGATACTGTAGTTAGTATGATGCACAATAGATATGAAATTATTACATTTTCTAAACTAAAGAATGCTGTACAAGTTATGACCAAAAAGTAAGTGTTTTCTGTTACAGTACCATTTCTGTATTATATCATTTGATTCACTAAATCATATTGATTAATATATAACATGCAAAAGATTAAGACCGTGATTTTTTTTTTATTTCATTAGCAATCTTTTGATGATGAGATTAACTGTCGAACAGATAAAAGAAGGCTCTTAAATGTCCATCTGGTTTTTTCTCGTCCTTTAAAATATGTAAATTATAAGTTTTTTATTTCCAGAAATTTTGAGACGAATCATGTTGGTCAAGTTAAAACTGTCCACCCTGCAGCCTATCATTTTAAACAAGAGACATGTTTACCAATGTTTGGTAGTAAAACAAGTGGTTATCAGTTAACTATTGAAGCTAATCTAACAGATGATACAGCAGTACAGAAAAAAAACAAGATCAAATCAGAAAGAGTCAACTTCTCAGCTACACATTTATTAAATAGAAGAAATGTATTCCACACTGAATTGATAAACAGAGTAAAATATCATCACAAGGTAACCTTGTCTATTTTTAACAGATAATTCTGTAAGGGTGTATTTGAGGGTTTTTCTTTCGTTTCTCTTAAAGGATCCTTGATGGAATACATTACCCCAGATTTTCCATGCAATTGTTTTTTTTTTGTCAGGAATTATTGCTTGACTGATGCAGGACATGTGTGAACCATTTTGATTTATAATTGTGTGTAATTTAGCTATATTCAATCTTAAATTGCTAAATATTTTTTTGTGTTTTAGAAATTTTTAAAGAGTCTAGAAAAACCATTAGATATACCAGATGATAAAATAACCAGATGGCATCCAGCATTTATGTTAGATAATGTACCTGATATAGAAGTTAGTGATTTACCTCAACCTCCAGTAGTCAATAAATATCATACAGCTAAAGATGTTCTTAATGAACGGAAAGGAAAATTGACAGCTAAGGTAGGGATTTTATGTTAATATTTTTAGATTCAACTTACAACAGAATCTTGATTGAATTTAGCTCTGCAAAAGTGGTTATGGTAAGAAAACCTATTCAAGCTAAAAGTGAATATGACTTCAATTTCCTTGCTGAAAACAACAAACAAAACTAAAATACTATACATACCACTGTGAAGAAAATTATTGTGCAATTGGAAAAATTCACTTAAATGTTATTACAAATATGTCATGGTTATCTATTTTCTTAATATATAGAGAATTATATTTTATGATGTGTTTAGGTTGAAGAAGCTTTAGAAAAAGTAGCATTAGAACATAATGATAAAGTGAAAGTAAAAAGTGAAGAAAAACCAACAACAGTTCCAGATAATGCTGCCTATAGAGGAATCCCACCCTCACTGCTGGAAAAGGTCAGTTTACAGTTTTTTTAAATAAGTCACCGTAATTATCATGGTCAAGAGCTGTGAAAAATGAATTTGCTGCACTGGTTTTCAATTTTCTTTTTTGTTAGAGTACCAGGATAATAACATAAAAAGCTCTTTCTTCACCTTTAACTTGTGGATGGAAAAATAATTTTACTAAGTGAAAAATATATTGTATTATAGATCAGAGCTAAAGAAGCCAAGAAATTAGAATTAGCTATGACCAGAGATCCAGAAGAAGAAAAAAAGATATATATGATGGAAAGATTACCTGATATGATTCGTATTATTAGAACGTATCCTTTTATAGTTTGATGTTCAATATGTTAGTTTAAGGAGTTAATTCTTTCTTGATAAAAGTAACCAATATCGATGGACTTTCAATAAATATTGTGCAGTTAATTATCAAGCAGTCCTAGTTCAAATCCATAATTTTTACCTTAACCATTGAATTAGATTATTTGTAACAGAAAAGAAGCCAGCTCTACCAGAGAAACTAGTAATTAAGAAATTAGGTGATAGTACAAAATCAAATATAGCTATATGTAAGAGAATTTTTCATCCATAATACTAATAGATTGATTTAGATTGAGTGTTCAACCTGAAACTACCTTGAATCAAACCTAGTAATCTTTTTGTTTAGCTTTTTATCTTTCAAACTCTCTCTTTTATTGTGTCCACCTCAGACAGTCAGGGTTTGTATGAATATTGAGTCCTTTTACTTAAAAATCTTTTTAATTTTGCTGTTTTCATCTCCTCATATTTCTTTTTGGATTAATTGGTCTTTCTAATAAATAATTCATGTTCGAAGATTGTGTTTTGAAGAACTTGGGAATTCAGAGAACTTGATATTGATTGAAAATGCATAATAGTATTCTTGCCGCAATTTCGTATTAATTGAAAATGACAGCTATTTTTGAGAAAAACTGAACCATGAAATCTTCTAATTTCAGCTGATGTTCCTAAACATTTAAAATTATTAGAGGAGATCCTTCCAGAATGGATGACAGTTGTAGATATCAAGAAAGGAAAATATATCAAAATAGACCGCAATATAGATATACATATTTTATCTACCAAAATAAACAATATGGTAAAAGCTAAAAAATGAGTTAACATTGATACTTTTAATATTATTTGTTTGTACTGTTTCTATTAGATCTGTGTGCAATTTGAAGTTTTTTAATTTCGAGGATTTTCATATTCAGTGTCAAATTTTTATTCAGTCATATTTTTAATCATGCACTCTAAAACCCAAAGTTGAATATTTTAAAAATAATCATGGAATACATTAATGGTTGACTGCTCAATGCATGGAATTAATATTTTGCATAAAATTTCATGTATCCTTCATGTCTTTTTCAAATATCTGTATATTTTTATATGCATCAAATGATCATTCAGGTCTTCATTCTGTTACTTCGATTCCTTTTTTGAAAATATAAAATGTTTGACAATAAAATCATTCATCCAATCAATAGGACTTATATAAAAAAATTTGTCCCTGGAGGGAGCAGAGGTTAACATATGATTCTGTCACATAGATTACATGGTTTGATATAGAAAAAGTGTATCTGGGACAAAAAAAAATATGTATCGAACACATAAAGAATTTCACAGCGGAAGCGTACAAGACATGAGATTGGTGCTATTTGAAACTGATCTGATCGGTAGAGCGGAAATTAGGTCATGTTAACAAATGCTTTTCCGTTGCCCATTTAAAGAGATAAGAACATATTCTTTCCAACTAAGGTTTGATTTTCTCTCGGCTTCAATTCTGTACCGTACATATTAATCAAAATATGTAATGGCACGCTGCTTTGAGAACACACCTCACCACTGATTTCATTTTAACCCATGTTCATAAGATACCTGGTTAAACCAAGTCAGTGGGTCCATTATTTGGAGCAAATATATTGAACGTATGAATAGGTATGAGCTGACTCCAGTAGAGGCATCAGAATGTTTCTCACCTTGAGCGATAAGAGTATCCACCTACAGTCATTTTTATACGCCCACTCAAGTTCGAAATTCGTAATTATCGGATGAATGGTTTCTGAGTTATTGCCCTTGACTTTAAAAAAACGTGTCAAATTTGGCTTGTAGGCAAGATAGAGACTACAGTTTTTATCTGATCTTGATGAAACTTGGTATGCATGTATCTATTGATGAGATCTCAGTCAAGTTCGAACTTGGTAATAATCATATCAAATATCATAATAATAACTGTTTCAGAGTTATTGCCCTTGACTTAGTAAAAAAGCGTTAAATTTGCCTTGTATGCATGATAAAGGCTAAGATTTTTATTTGATCTTGATGAAACTTAGTATGCATGTATATATTGATAAGATCTCCGTCAAGTTTGAATTTGGTCATAATCGGATGATTGGTTTCAGAGTTATTGCCCTTGACTTAGTAAAAACACTTCAAATTTTGCAGTTTTTATCTGATCTCAATGAAACTTGGTATGCATGTATATATAGATGAGATCTCAAGTTCAAAAATGATAATAATTGGATGAATGGTTTTGGAGTTATGGCCCTTGAATTAATTCAGAAATTAATGGAGTTTTACGTCCTACTCTTCTGCACCTTGAAGACGGGCAACGCCATGCAGGGTGCCATGAAGGAAATTTTGCCAGGACAGCGGCACTAGCCTGCTCTTTTTCGATTTCCAACTGTTGAGTGATCTGTAACGTGCACAGCCTGTAGCACATGGGGCCTCGATTTATTGTCCCATCCGAACGACTAGACGTTTTTTCCATGTCAGCCCCTCTTACTTGCATCACCGACGGTGGGGAAACCGGGTTGAAAAATCCAAAGGTATTATCTCGACCTATGCCGGGCTTGAACCCTGGACCTTCAGGTTAGCGAGCAAGCGTCTAACTCACTGAGCCACCGCGGCTCCCTTGAATTAATTCAGTGTGTCTAATTTGGCTTGTAGGCCTGATAGAGACTACATTTTTTTTTTTCGTTTTATGATGAAGTTGGTATGAGACCTGAGTAAAGCTTGAAATTAGTAACAATCGGATGATTGGTTTCACATATTAAACCACTAAAGACTTTATCATTTCTGACAGCTGGTAGTAGGTGTATGTTACCTTTTTTTTTGTATAATGAATAATAAAGAAGAAATCTCTCAAAATTATTGACACGCTTTTTTAATATTTCAAAATACACGATTTGTTCCATGATAATATATGCAAAATGATTGACAATGTAACATAATTAATATGATAAAAACAAATGACTATCATATTGCAGTATAAAGTAAAATAATTTGGTGTGTTTGACACTGATCCTAATGAATAACTTTTAAGAGTTCACAACAACAGCACTTAATTTAATAAACAAGTAATCATCTGATGCTGCCAACACATGTTATGGATACAGATTTTTATTCAACTACATGTAGTTAAATAAAGAGATGTTATTTATTATTAAAAAACTTGAGGACAATGAATTCAGTAAGTGTATACATAAACCAGAGCCAGAAATAAAAGAGGGTTGGGGTAATGCAATTAATCAAGTATCCTGAAAGAGATGATGCAAAGAAAAAAATTAAAAACCCCTGTACTACAGTATGAAGACTCAACTTTAGAAAAAAAATTGAAAACACCTGTACTACAGACTCAACTCACATCTAATTGACAAAAGCTAATGCTTTTAGCTGATGCTAACATGTGTTTCGGATACACAATCCTCATCAAGACAGCTAGTTTTCCTTTCTAGGAAATCTAAAACTTCAAAAGACTAAAACTATTAGTATTTAAAAATTAAATATAATTACTTAATTCATGGAATACTTGTATAAAACATTCTGAACCTGCAGACATAGACATAACACTTAAAAAATCTGTTGTTACTTCCAACAGTCAATAATATCGCCTTTATATTTTTCATACTCTTGTACCATTCCTTCTTTACTGAGATTTCCATTCATTATCTAAAAATATTTATATAATTTGAGACTGTTTTGTAACAGTCTGAACCTAATAAGTCACTGAGATCTGATTACTTTCAGTACAAAGGAGATATATGCTATGCATTGTGGGATCGTAAGGAAGATAAACAAACTGATATCACTCTACTGAAAAGCAGTAAATAAGCTTAATATTGACACATTTAAAATTTCCTCTATTCAAATTTAACTAATATCCATAATGTTTTGTTATCTAGAAATTCTAGCTGTGAGTTGTTATATATAAAGATAATGTAATAACTTACCACTACTTGTGGGCAAGGGAATAATTTGTTTATCAGCCACTCTTCGTGTAAATTATGAAGCATTTGTAAATATTCCTAAAAGGCAACAAAAAAGACATTACAGAACAAAAAAGATGAGCAAGTTTTTCCTAATTGCAATTGTTGAAGAAGTTACAAATTCGTTACAAAAGGCAGTTTTTAAAAAAAAAAAAAAAACATCCCTCTGACAACAATTAGGAAATTTTGTAAAACAAAATCTTTCTTGAAAAATTGAAAAAAAATGAAAATAATCAAAGATTTCACCAATACATGTGTTTCATCAGAATCAGAAAGCTAGAAGAGGAAATGTACAAAAATGGGTTTTCTTACAACATATGTCTTCACACACAGATGTGGGTGTATAAAAATAGAGAAATGAAATCTATTTATCTTACTAAGGGTATACTGGATTCTTCTGATCTACATCTTTCTTTTATTCTTTCATAAACAGTTTCTGGTTTCGTTTGTAAATACACTGAAAAACAGGCAAATAAAATCCAATTTGAAGATGTATATTGATGTCTGTTGCAAAACAAGAACATGTATCACAATATAACAAGTACTTCAGTTCCAGTTCAGAGATCATTATGCTTTACATGCTTAGACAACTGCATAAACTTCAACATTAAGCTTTACCTATTATATCAACATTCAGATCTCGTGTTCTAACTAAGAAATCAAACCATTCAGTCAAAACAATGTATTCAATTTCAGGCATTTTACCACTAAAAAGAAAAATTCAAAAATAATTTAACACTAAGCCTTGATGAGTTGTTATCTATTTCATACACAATTGATATCAATATGGGATTACATAGGTTTAATCCATTTTTTCTTATATGTTAATATTATTTACTTACCAGAAGTATATGACTTAACTGGGGAATATGTACTATCAATTAAACCAAAGTGAGAGCCTAATACATTACAAATTTTACTTATAATAACAAACCATATTGATCAACCTACATACCCTTTATAGAGATTTTCAACAAAACAATATTTAGCACTATAAATAGATCTTTCCATCATTTTTATTCTTTTCTCCTGCAAGTTAGAAAGAAAGGGTGAAGCATATGCTTGAAACTTTCATGTATATTAACAAAATAATCTGGAATATTTTTCAATTAAACTATATAGTAAATATCAAACGTATATTGAGATGTTTCGTTTTATGATATTTCTGTAAGTTTACTGCACTAGCCAAACCATAATTTTCAGGATGAAAATATAATTTGAAAATCTTGCTGAGGGAATCCAAGAAAGTTATGTCACCTGTGGTTGAGTGTGGATCTCTAACATTGTCAACTGTACATAAGTTTGAAATGTTAAACCCCATCTACTTGGATCTTCATACATTAATTCCTGAAAATATCGAGAAAGTGACGAAAATTAAATTTAAAGCTTTAAATACTGATTGAAAGATATGCAAAGTTACACATATATCATTTATAAATATATCTGGTATGATATATAAATATATCTGGTATGATATATAAATATATCTGGTATGGTATATAAATATATCTGGTATGATATATAAATATATCTTGTATGATATATAAATATATCTGGTACATATATCTGGTATGATATATAAATATATCTGGTATGGTATATAAATAAATATGGTATTGTATATAAATATATCTGGTATATATATCTGGTATGATATATAAATATATCTGGTATGGTATATAAATATATCTGGTGTTAAGAGTGACGAAGTTCCTAAAAACTTCTATGTAAAGCACTGGCCAAGGTCACAAATAAAGAGATAAATGTTCAATACAAGATAAGGTGAAGTTAGCATAGTTAGTATTAAGTTAAAAAAACAACCACAGTAATCTACAATAAACAAAAGTCTATAATATGAAAGTTTTCTTGTTACCAGTTCTAAAAGAAAAGAGTATGAATAGGTTCTGAAAAGATAAACATCTATATATAAGGATTAGAATATATTATACTTAATGAGCTAGAAAATAGAGAGGGGGGTCAAGTATTATTGGATTCAATGGGATCGAGTCTACCACGGACCAGAAAATTACTAAGGTTTTTATTGTGCTTATAGGCAATTACAAGTCGTTTGGTATATACATTCGGAAATCTGTTCTGTTATTCACTGTAATACTGTTTGACGATGGATGAGGTTTTGGCAGCTGTATGATTAAAGGTGGCAACAAATGGAATCATTTGATTATCAAGCTGGATGTTAAGTCCATTTGGAGCCACTGTTATGATATATGAATATATCTGGTATGGTATATAAATAAGATATATGACTTGGTATCCAAAAATAAGATTTGTAACTGTATTATTTATAAGATCTTACCAGAGCATTTAAACCTTTTATATTTCTCCATTTATCAACAGGTTCTTTTGTTACCTGAAATAATGATTTCAACAACTTGTATAAACATAAATCAAATAATTAATTTCCAATTGATCCAGTTGAAAATCAGGACAGTGACTCAGATCATTAAAAAATTATCCAATGTTGGTTCGAGATCTAAATTACACCATTCTGTACCAAAGCTGGTCCAAATCTTGTTCATTTATGAATATATTATTATGTTGTATTTCAAACAACTTTTCTATCAGATACGACATTGCTTTTATTTACTATTTTCTTTTACCTCAATATTTGGTAACTTTGAGAAATATTCCAGTAATGTTGTTTTTCCACTACCAATATTTCCTTCCACACAAATCTATAATATATATCATCATTAACCTTTTGTAATCTTGAATATTTCAATATCATCCTTGTCAAGTTTCATTTGGTGCATGTTGTATTAGTGTATATTAGTCTCCTTACACCACATGCTTCAAACAATGAGTATTCCACATTCCATGATGACTACAACTACAAGTATGGATGTATATTATTTCTATTTATCTTAACAGTGTTCGGTCAACAGGGTGCGTATTATATTTGCAATTATGCCATAAATAGCAAAGTATGTCTACTATTAAAAAGAAGATTAGTAATTTTCATGAAATTGTCTTTAGTTTCATATAAATTAATAGATCTATAGTTTCTCTGAAATTTGATTTCTACCTTGATTTTTTTCTTGTCTTTGGTTGTCTCTGTTGTATAATCTCTTATTATTCCATTTCGTCCCGTCATTGCTAAAATGTGACAAATTATATTTGAAAATTAAATAAATATCATTGATGATTTAACTAGCTATTTAACTGATAATCCAGTTTAATTTCATTTTACATCTATTAATTATTTTACATATTAAATCATAAGATATATTACATAACATAATAATACAATGTGTATAGCAAAAGGCGTATTGGTGCATTTTTAGTGCTCTTTTTTCCCCACCTGACATCTGTTTTTTCAAGGAAATAATTACCTTTTCTATTCTGAGAACTGAACAAGAATCTATTTATAACATGTGTATTTTTCCTAAGTTCTGTCAATCGCTTCAAACCTTTCGAAAAGACGACACAATAACTCAAACAAAGCATGGCTATATAATATCAACATTACAACTGAAGTGATTCTATTTTTATTTCTTCCAATCAAACTTCTTCTTTGCTCCTAGGATTTCTATCATCCAGTCTCGTTTTGTCTATACACAGTTGCGTTATCCAGACCGGATAAAAGCTCTTAACTCAAAAAAATTGGAATAGAACGATCAACTTTTTCCAAGTGATCATTTTATTGTCCTGTGACAAATAGGTACATGCCTACGAAATAAATCAGCTTGAATGTTAGCCAAAAAATTTAGACCGGAGAATTTCATTATCTATTTTGAATGTTACTCAGTGAATAAACAATTATAGACAAGGCTTCCGTATATACATACATGGTTTTCTACTTTCAGTTTTTTGCTCCTGTTAACAGCCTACCTTTAGGGTCAAAGTCTATTTGGTTAAAACTGTAGTCGAAATAAGATTAGACATAGCTGCAAAATCTTCAGAAAGAAAGTGTTAAAAATTATAATGGCAAGTTGTGCAGGAAAACTGTTAGGAAAGGTGGCTATTGTTACTGCATCAACAGAGGGGTAATATTATTATTTTAGTACATGTATAAGTCATAGTCAAATACAGATCTGTCAGATTGTGCTAAAGTTTTACAATCATTTTCTTTTTATACAGTATTGGTTTTGCAATAGCAAGACGTTTAGGACAAGATGGAGCCAAGGTTATGATAAGTAGCAGAAAAGAAGATAATGTAAAACAGGCAGTTGAAAAACTGAAAAATGAAAAGTTGGAAGTTGAAGGAATGGTTTGTCATGTTGGTAAAACAAATGATAGATCTAATCTTGTGAAAAAGGTACTGGTATATATATCAAAATTTTAGAGCTTCCATACTCATGTTTCATGATCTGGTATAATGTGTCTTGTAGCTACACTTCAATGTTAGGTGTAACTAATATATTTAGTTTATTTCAAACTATAATTAAGTTTATACATCTTATTTATTTGACCTGATAAAACTACATGTATTTGTAACTTGTCATAAAATTATTGCCTCTCTCTCAATCTTGCAGACAATTGAAAGATTTGGTGCCATTGATATTTTGGTTTCCAATGCAGCAGTCAATCCTTACTTCGGACCTATGATGAATGTAAGTTGAAATATTTTTTGTATGAATTCATTATGTATAAGGTGCAGGTGCGTCATTTTGGGAGGTTGATTTGAATATAGATAGTCTTCAAAACTACTAATACTGTATGAAATAGCATAATTCCTTCAAATGGATCTCAAACAAGAAATTTAACTTTTTATTTATTTTGATCACAAGCTTATAGTCTTGTTGATATTGTCTCTGAAACCAAGACATCTTCTGTCGCAACTGTGCAGGATAATTGAGTCTAATGTGTACATGGCGTCATTAAAATATTTAAGTCTGTTAGATGGACGACACTTGTGAATACACTCAGATTTGAAGGCTCATATTTTTACGGGAAGCTGTGATCATTTAGCGAAACAATTCAGTTTTTTTGAGGCCAAGGTATGATTTACTTCTGTCCCTTTAAAAGTACTGTTTGACATAATTGATTTCACTTTGGAACAATCAGATCAATTTAAAATTGAGCAAGGTTGCTATTTTTTCAACTTTGTCCCTAAAACAAAGGTGACAATATAAGGCATTTTCAATCATGTCATTCAAAAATAAAATTATTGTATACACTTTAAATGATATTCTTTAATTGTAGATTAAAGAAGAACAATGGGACAAGGTAATAAAAAAATCTATGAATTAAAAGTCTCCTTTTGACATTAGTTTACCACAAGCAGTTAATTTTAATTCAAGTGAATTTTTAAGATAAAATCAATTCAGCTTAAATTTTCATTCTTCATATAAGATGATCCCTTTATATTACATGTTAGATTTTTGGAAACCACTTTAAAAGTATAGATCTAAAATTAGTCAATAATTCCTCTCATAATTTTGAGTTTTTTTTCTTATGGAAACACAATATATCAGCGAATCGAAAGTTCTAATCATAGCCTGCATTCGTATCTTTGCATGCTTGGCAATACTTAGTAATAACAAAAACGTACCATTATTACTTTAAAAAGATTTAAAATTCTTTATTATTTTCAGATATTTGATATCAATGTAAAAGCAGCATTTTTATTATGTCAAGAAGCGGTACCACATATTGCCAAAAGAGGGTAATAATAATTTTTCAAGTTAACTCGATTTAAGTTATGTCGATGAATTAACATTCACAATTATAACATCACAATTAAGTAACTTTATTAAATGTCAAACAGATGAATTCTATAATCTCTGTAAATGAAATGAAATGAATGGCGTTTTTTGTCCTACTTTAAAATTTCTGTAGACATCAAAAATACTTTATTTAATTTTTGAAAGCTTGAAGTCCAATTAGTTTAAGAAATAAAATTTTGATATGCTAATAAATTACTGTATGTTGATATTATATTCATTTGTATGATAATTGAAATGATTTATTTACAGGAGTGGATCAATTATATTAGTTAGCTCTGTAGCTGGTTATTCTCCACTATCTGTAAGTAGCTCTATATTATTCCAAGAATTTTTTTAGTAAACTCTGAAGTTTTATAGTTTTTGAAATATACAATTTAACAACTTAATTTGCAACATGACATAAAATGTTTTGCTGTTGGCCCTCTCTGTCATCATTTCTTGTGTGCAAAAAAGAGGCTGCTGTTTTCATCTGAAAGTTGTTGCAAACAAACAAATTTGAGTAATTAGTAATTATAACACACCCAAAAATTTTGTTTCTAGGTTACAGCTCTTGACTTGCTCTAATCCAGTATGGTTAAGATGTGTACTGATATTTAACTGCTAATATTGCGCTTGTTTATCTTGTATGCTATTTTTTCTTGCTGCTAAAAGGAATATTTGATCATTTAAAGATGGGTTTCCTTATTTTTTATTGTCAAATTAAGCAAACTGTTTGATTAATTGGTGTTTCTAATGAATTAGCATCTATTCTTTATCATATCATTATTTTCTTATATTGCATATTTAACCAATCATAAATGTCCATGTATGTACAGTCTGGATAAACAAAAAAATACTTTTTAACCTTTTTTGATCGGTCACTCATTGGAATTCTGCTAGTAATTCTCTTCTAATTTAGCTAATTATGAATTAATTATGGACATCTGAAACAAACTGGTATTTTTCCAAGTCATTAGAAAACCGTCACTTTCTATTCATCGATGTATTAGCATTTTGATTTTCATAAATGAAAATGAGGGAACCCATCTTTAATCTCTTTATTATGCATGATATTTTCTATTAGTTACTAGGTCCTTATGGTGTGAGTAAGACAGCTCTGTTGGGTTTAGCTAAAGCAATGGCACCTGAATTAGCACAGTCCAATATTCGAGTTAATGTATTAGCTCCTGGGATTATTAAAACTAATTTTAGTAAAGCAGTAAGTACATGTATATTGTTTTTGTAGGTTAAAAAGAAAGGTCTATTATTTTATAAAGGTGGACCTGAACCATCTGACATTTAAGACGTATTCCATCCTTCAGTTCATAATCCCTGTATAAAATTTTATTGTGGAAATATAATAAACAGGAGAGTTTCTCAGCTATTTTCTTACAAAGGATTCATGATAAGTGGAATATATATATTTTATTTTTTATAAATTTATTTGTAGATATGGACAAATGATAATGTTCATAATCAAGTAGTTAAACAAATACCTATGAACAGGTAATTATTTAAACAACAAAGGAAAACTTTCTTGAGGAATGGATTTACCTGTCATTTTATACAACTTTAGGTTGTAGACATCGATTGAACAGATCAAAAAATGACTAATTATCATCCTCATAAATACTCAAAGACCAATTTGTATTATAATTGGATGGAAAACGCGTCAAAATTTGTCAGTGAACACATCGGAGACTACAGTTTTTATCAAATATTAATGAAATATTTATCTAAAAAGCTATCTTGATATTATATTGGCAAATGTCACTTGCAATGTTTTGTTCCTTTTTAGAATGGGAGAACCTGAAGATTGTGCTGGAACAGTTTCTTTCTTAGCCTCAGATGATTCCAAATATATAACTGGTGAATCAATACTGGTTACTGGTGGAATGACAGCTAGGCTTTAATCAAAATCTCCTAAAACTAATTTACCAACTGCTAATAATTCATATATATAATTTAAGGATAATTATACAAAATTGAGAAATATCAAGAAAATTATATGTAAGTTATTAATGCCAAGTTGAAGAAAAAATATGGATGTTTTTTTGTTCCAGAAGAAAAACATTTGTTGAAATAATCATATTTGTTAATAAATAATGCAATTGTTCATTAATTTCTCATTTCCTTCATAAAATGTAAGGGCATTTTGTTGATTCAATCGATGCAGACTGGACAACATTGGTACCGGAGTGGCAACAAAGTATGGTACTGGGTGCCTAGACTGATATGCAAAACGATAATTTTTAGGCCAGTGCCCTCCCCTCAGGCCATCTAAAATCTGTTGGCAGTCACCGGACCCCCGTCCTTGGAGAGACACCTCATTTCTTACAAAGTAATCCCCCACTTTCTGGTTGACAAACTTAACAATACGTTATTGATCATCCCCCCTCCTCCGCTTCCCCAGACGCTCCATGGGAGGCTTGCGACTACGGCGCCACCACAGAATTAAGACTCGCAGTTGTGCCTCCAAAGAATGGTAGGTAGGTAGGTAGATGACAAAACGTTCGCTTCCAGCGGATGCTGATATCGCAAACTAGGTAGTTGCTGGTGGTCGTAGTAGTTGGTAGTTGGATTGGATCAAATTGGATGATTCGGTGTTGTTGGATTGGTTGTTGATTCTTCGTTAGATCTGTTCGGGTCGAATGACATGGCGGTGAAACTCGGCCTTGGATGGTGTGGCGTGAGTTACTCGGTCTCCTTCATTCTTCCAAACTCGTTCTGATCATGTTATTTCTTGTTGATTGGTAGTCGAATGGTAGTCGTTTATTTGGTTTGGTTTGGTTAGATTATCTGTTATCTGTTGGAAAATGTGCCTCCAAAGAATCAGTCTGTCTCTACATTGTCGCGTATGTATAGTTTTCATAGAATTGAGTAAAAAAAATTTCGACCCACGAAAAAAAATATAATCTGATAGTCCGCATGGAAATGTAGAGATATAATTGCCATTCGTTCGTCCACATCATTTGATACCATCCCAATTATTTCCAAGATAACTGCTCGTGGAAACCGGTACCTCGAAATGAGTTGGTTGTCATCGAGAGTTTCAAGATCGTTCGACCTGTCGCGAAAAACTCTCTCTCGTCGTAAATTACGGCGGTATGCATCTTGCAATAAAATCAATGCAGCCATTTGGGAATTAAAAGTTCGCAGACGACTTCTAACGAGTACCATACTGTGCACGTTATTTAACGCATAATTTTAATCGTAATTTAACGTTACGAATTTTAAGAAACACGTTTTAGACGGTAAATAACGTTACGATTTTTTTAACGTCTAATGTTATTTTACGTATTTCACAAAACGTTATTTAACGAAAGAATTTTCTAGAAATACATTTTTACGTTAAATAACGTTTTTCTTTATTTAACGTGCAAGATTAGTCGTACCAATTTTTGAGAAACGGGGTCCTGACTCGGGGAAACTTCTTAGGAAATCCCCTCGTGCGATTGACGTCCTATCTAGGCATATTTTGCTGGACTTGCTTTTGATAGCGGTTCGAAGTTAAGGGACACATTTCTCTACATTGTCGCGTATGTATAGTTTACATAGAATTGAGTAAAAAAAATTTCGACCCACGAAAAAAAATATAATCTCATTTAATACGAGAATAGTCCCACATGGAAATGTAGAGATATAATTGCCATTCGTTCGTCCACATTTCTTGTAGACACGATACAAGCTACAGTTTTTATCTGATGTTAATGAAACTTATCAATTATGCATGTAGGCCGCCTATAAATATTTATAAGATCTAGATCAAGTTCGAATTTAGTAGCCTAATGGTCCGATAAACGGTTTCGAAGTTATCCTTGACTTGGATAAAATGCGTCAAATTTGACTTGTAGGCTCAACAGAGGCTATATTCGATTTTTTTTTTTATCAGATCTAGGTATGCATGTTTATATTGATAAGATCTCGGTCAAGTTAGAATTTGGTAATAATTGGATGCACGTGTTAGGTGTTAATACACTTTGCTTGGTAGAATGCGTCAAATTTGACCTGTAGGATAGAGGCCAGTTTTTTTGTATCCGATCTTTATGAAACTTAGTGTTAGATGGTGTTGAGAACATAGGCTAGTCACGTAAATGCACTGGCCTAGGTCATAAAATCGTATGCATACGTATATATTGATGAAATCTTGGGCAAGTTTAATTGAATTTTGTTGTAATCGGATAAACGGTTTCGGAGTTATTGCACTTGACTTGGTAAAAATGTGTCAAATTTGGCTTAAAAGAAGCTACAGTTTTTGTCACATCTTCATGAAACTTGACATGCATGTATATATTAATAATATCCAGGAAAGTTCGAATGTGGTTAGGAGTTATTGCCTTTGACCTCCTATAGAATATCTTTAAGATTAATGGAAACTTCTTGTGATCATTTCTGACAGATGGTAGGAGTGGACGTATGTTACCTTATTGCCTGGCAAGCTATCTCTAGTTCTTTAAATGTCAGTTTTATCCTTGACTTATGAATAACGAAAAACATTTCAAAATGGTCTTTGAACGCAATTGAGGCTTCAGTGGGGGTGGAAAGGGTTTACCATTGAACCTTGGCTCCTCGTTTAGGGTAGGCCTACTAGTCGCGGTGGGGTAAGGGGCTCCCATTGGAAACATTTTCCAATCTAGGAAGGAGGGGAATACGTCCAACGCGATTTTGGCAGTGAAAGTATCCAAATATCATTTTTTGTCTTGAGGGGCAGATGTCATGTCTGGAGTCAGTGGAGAGTTCTTCTTACATGGTCAAAGGGGAAGAACTCGTATTTTCTTAGCGTGATTGGGAAAATAGCCTCGTTACAGCTTCGCGGGTGAAAGACGGCCGCCATCTTGTTCAGGAGTGCCATATATTTTATCTGAAAATTTTATTGTGTTCTATGTATCACCAACGACTACCCTTGTCCAAATGTTACATAATCCACAAAAATTAATTCAATGTAAGGCTTATTCGCCTTACTGGTCTCTAAATGTAACTGTTTTGGAATTAAAGGACTAATTATAAAGGTATGTATCGCGTAGGAACGTATGGAAATGCTGTCATCACAGTGCACGAAGGGTTTGCTTTGTCGTCATTAGACAACTCAATAAGCCATAAGAGCTTTTGTTTTTCACATGATAATAACATTTCGATAAAAAATTGTTTGCAAGCTATTTGTAACAGTAGAAATCCATAAACTAAATGCTAACTACTGAAGTGGTCTTGTTACTGTCGAGTTACATATTGTTTTGTAGACAGAGCTCACACAGCATTTCTTTCTTTACTCTCAAATTCTGACTTGATAAACTGATTGCCTGGTAAAGAATTGTTAGGGTTCTTGGACATTATTTTACATTTGAGCATGTCAAATGAAAAGTGCAGGATTTTGAAAATAACAAAGGAAACCAATAAAAATAATTCTGGTAGACTAAACACAATTTTTTAGTCCATGTTTAGACAAGAATTATGAACATAATATTAGGCTAATGGAGGTCAGTTTCAAACTAGAAAACAATAAATAGCACTAGGTGTTCATCAAGGAATGTGTCCTTGTTAAGTTTTTCATTCTATCTTTCTATTTGGGAGAGATTCATATGATTCATATGACTCATCTCATGTCTATCTCACTACAGGTTTTTGTGCTGCGAATGTGTCTGGTTTCTTATCATTTTTTATAGAATTAACCACAAAATTAATCTAATGACTATAATATTTTGTTTTATTTTTCAGATTTTACAGGTATTTCATTGCACAAGCCTTTTCAGTTACCCTGTTAAGTAGAAGGACACTAGTTGTCCTGAAAAGGTTTGTGTCCAAGAATTGTAGATCATTGGTAGCAAGTAAAGACAGTATGCCACCTCTTCCAAGTCGTGCTCGAGTGTACCCTGATATCAACACACACAAACCTAAAGATTATTGGGATTACGAATCACATGTTGTTGAATGGGGGTAAGTATGTTACAGGCTTAAAAGTTTCATCACTTTATTTTATTTTTTTCAAGTTGTTGCCAATGTTCTACTATTAAAACAATATGTTCATATGAGCATGGAATCAAAAGCATTGATATTGTTGGATTTGTGAAAAGTTAGCTAAACACAGACATGTCGTAGGTTAATAAAAACTTGTCTTGGTGTATCTTAAAGCTCACATGTCACTGCTCTAATGTCACTTTTCAATTCTATTTTCTGAGCAGATAATGTAGGCCTACATCAATAGATTTTTAGTTTAATAATATAAACATTTGAAAAGGTTCTAAAAGTTGAAGCCGGTGGCTCAGTGAGTTAGACACGTGCTCGCTAACCTGAAGGTCCAATGATGCACATAGCTGACATGTAGTTGTTCGGTTGGGACAATAAACTGAGGCTACAGTCTCTGCACCTTAATGATTTCTATTGATTTGGCAGTTGGAAATCATAAAAGAGCAAGTTAATGCTGCTGCCTTGGCAAAATTTTCTGTCATTGCACTCTGCTTGGTATTGCCTGCACTCTGCATGGCATTGCCTGTCTTCATTAGCCCACATGGGGCAGAAAAGTAGGACATAAAACTCCATTTATTTCATTCTGTAATTACTGGATCAATAACTTTCATAAATAATATATATCAGCCTTTTCATGCTTCATGTTCATATTAACTGATATCTGAACTCTCTCGGTCAGAATTTAATATAGATTTTCTAGTTGGATGACATCCCTCAAGTTGAAGATAAGTGAATAATTTGGGATGGAACCAATCTGGATTAGTGCCAAATGTATTTTTTTACCCGTTACATTCAGTATTTTATATTATTATTTCCAGAAATCAAGATGATTATCAAATTGTACGAAAATTAGGACGTGGTAAATACAGTGAGGTGTTTGAGTCGGTTAATATTACAAACAATGAAAAATGTGTGATAAAAATTTTAAAGGTGTGTAAGAAATGTATTGTTTTAGGTAATGTTTAAACTTTGGGTACCACCTAGACTAATGTATTGACAACTTAGATTGCCAGACTCTGTAAATTCTTTTTTTTTGTTCAATTTTCATGATTTTGTTTTGAAAATTCCACCATTTTCAGATAAAACCTGTGCTGATACAAATTGACATGAGAATATATATTTGTTATCTGTGGAATGTTTTTTTAGTAAGATTACAACCAGATCAGAAGCTCCATTGGTCTTTCACTATCGCATTTATATCACTATCACATTTGCTATAAACGATTCTGGTTAGATCTTTGTTTTCATCAGAGAATAATGAGCTATTGATATAATGAGCTTCATTAAAACTTTCATATTATCATTTTTAGCCTGTGAAAAAGAAGAAAATCAAAAGAGAGATAAAGATTTTGGAAAATTTAAGAGGAGGAACTAATATTATCACTTTACTTGCAATTGTTAAAGACCCAGTGGTAAGAATTATAAGCATGTCATTTGGTATTGATTATTATTTGTCCATAACAAATAAAATATAGTTAATTGACATGTATACATGCATTTAGAAAAAAAAAATGCTGTCATTAAACCGTATCTGACAGAAATTGTACAAAAAGAAAGGGAAGAAATATGTTAAATACCAAATTGCTGAGTTATTTTAGTTAGCTTTAATATTACTTTAATTATATCTTTTGAAATGACAATATTATAATCTGTAAAAGGTACTTGAATAAAGTTCTCAAAGCAAATCTTGATGAATGTTATTACACCTGTATTTTATTTTTGCAGTCTCGCACTCCTGCCCTTATATTTGAACATGTGAATAACACAGATTTTAAGGTATGTTGTTTCTATTTGATAACAATACTTTATATATCTCATTTATATTTATATGCCCTCTTTTGATACGCCCAAATTATAATGTCCGTCGGTCCTGTCCACAATTGGCTTGTGAACGCAATAGAGACTACAGTTTTCATCTGATTCGAATGAAATTTGGTGTGTTCATTTATATTGATGAGATCTTGGACAAGTTCGTTATTCACGGTTTTTGAGTTATTGCCCTTGACTTATAAAAAACGCGTCAAAATTTGGTTGTGAACACAATAGAGACTACAGTTTTCTTCCAATTTCAATGAAATTTGGTGCGAATATATATAATGATGAGATCTTGGACAAATTCGAATTTGGCTATCTTTCGATGAATGGTTTTTGAGTTATTGCCCTTGATTTATGAAAAACGCGTCAAAATTTGTTTGTGAACATAGTGACTACATTTTCATCCGATTTAAATGAAATTTGATATGATCATTTATAATGATGAGATCTTAGTTCAGATTAAATTTGACAACTTTTCGATCAACGGAATTTGAGTTATTGCCCATGACTTAGTAAAAACGCATCAAAATTTCTTAGTGTTAGAGGTGACAGTTTATGTCAGAATTTTATTAAATAATGTGTGTTTGCTTAAATCAACAATATCTTGCACAAATTAAATTTTTGGTATGATTTGACACAGATAGGTGGCTACCCTTGATATACTGAAAATGTATCAGGAAAGTGGGCGTATCTTGCTAGGCAACCACTTGTTCATATTGTCTCTACCAATCTAGTTTACTTAAGTTTGTCTCCGTAGCCAAATTATTTCATCTTAAAGGATAATGAAACAAAACCTTATATTTTATGAATTATGTACTTATCTTTCGATACATACATTAAGGGCAATTCAAGCAGGTTAAACATTAAATTTTAGTCATCCTTGATGAACACTTTGTCCCTGTCTTAAAATCTGTAGTCAGTTAATTGTGAATGAGAAGGATTTGGATTTGAGATAATGTTCATTTTTATTGCAGCAATTATACCAAACATTCACTGATTATGATATACGTTTCTATTTATATGAATTATTAAAAGTAAGTGATATATGTTGTTTTATAGAATCGTAGTGAAGCATTCAAATGCCATTTAAAGGGATACTGCATCTTAGAATACACTCGTCCTGTGGCTAATATTCGTGTGTTTAATAGTGACCATTGGTTAAATAAGTATGCATCCCACACTTTATCAAGTGTGAAAAAGAGACATTAAAACTATAATCAGAACTTTTAAAAAAAGTGAGCAAGCGATAAGTCCGTTCAGTTTGAGAAAAAAAGAGTGGGTAATTAATTCTGAAACAGGAAACAATCATCTTCTGGTGTATACAAACAAACTTCGCCAATGATTAATATTTGTTAAAAATTGTGTCAGTGGAGTATTCATTCTAAATTATATGAATTGCTTTTTCGCGGAGTCGCCTAATCTCCTACGAGGCATTATTATTCTGTCTTCAAAATATGTCTGACAATGTCGAGGTCAATTCAAGAGTAGAGGGCAAGGTCGCTGAAAACCCCACTTGAGAATTAAATTGCTTAATGGATCTATTAAGCGTTATATAATTAATTACTTGATTTTGTGAATATATTGGATTATAGAAGGATTTTGATGTATAGTTAGGACACCAGGTGAGTCCACTGATGGATATATACTGTTATTGGCCAAATTTGAGCAAAATTAAAATTTTATGTTCATCTAAAGACGTAGTATCCCTTTAAATATTTTTGTTATTCCAGTATAGAACCAGAAGAGCCCTTGCCTTGAAAATGATGTAATCTCTTGTTTGTCTTAATCGTATTTCTCAAGATTTGTCATTTGACCTCAATAAAAACTAACATTACAAAACGATCAAAAACCTTTTAACTTTTTCAGGCATTGGATTACTGCCATAGTTTTGGTATCATGCATCGAGATGTCAAACCTCATAATGTGATGATTGATCATGAAAACAGAAAGGTGAGCTTAGTTATTAAATTGTTAAATTTTTTGAGAACTGGTTTCCAGAAATTGCTGACAAAATACAGATGGTGCTAGAATGAAAACTTGGATGAGAGAATGTTCTGGAGTAGAAAATACGGAAATGTTTACATTCTTGGAAATAACTGTGGAAAAAACAAACTGTGTGATTTCTTAATTTGTTTAGAATTGAATTCATAAATTTTTCAGTTACGTCTAATTGATTGGGGTTTAGCTGAGTTTTATCATCCTGGCATGGAATATAATGTACGTGTGGCATCACGGTATTTCAAAGGCCCAGAACTTTTATTAGATTATCAGGTAAGTTTTAAGTTTTCAAGAATTGTACTCATTAGAATACAGTTCTGTATAATTTGGCAGGGTTTTGACTCACTTGTTTTGTAAGCAGGACGTTTTGCAGTTCAAAATACTTTCGAGAATTCAGCTTTGGCTGATGACCTTGATCAGACCTTGTGAAATCTTGATATGAACTACCACACCTTTTATTGATCACAACTGTAAACAAATAAGTATGTTTGTTTGTCCCTGACAATTAAAAAAATAAATTGACAATTCTGAAACCAAACTTAAGCCAGAATATTGAGGCCCTTATTTACAAAGTGCTTCTGTAAAACAATGCTTAATAAATACTGGTGTGCTTCATGTCCTTAATGTTTTCTTTGTATTGAAAGAAATATAAGCACATTGAATATTACAGGGTAATCAATATTGTATTAGTAAATTTACCAGGTGTGCTTTCATTACTGACATATTGATTACGTTTAACACTGTACTGTGTAGTTAATCTAAAATTTCATAAAACTTACAGTGGTTTTTGTTATGAGTTTTCTTAGATTCAAACAATTCATTAAATAAACATTAAAATGGCAGTTTTGTCCGTACATAAAGCAATTTTATACATCCATATCTATAACGTTGGCTGTTTAGATTTCTTTGTAGACTAGATAATAAATAGTATATGTAACTTGAATAAATATGCCAGGTTAATGCTACTGTATATAGATTCTGAATATTTAAGTTATAGCTGTAAAATCCATGAATCCCTGAATGCAGATGCTAGATTTATACCTTGTGGTTATTTTATGCAAGTTTCCAACATTTCTATCACAGTTTAAATAGCACATCTTGATAAGGTTCCGGCCCAAAGCCCAATTTATTTTTTTATTTGAGAGTAAATTGACTGGCACAGGTGTTAATCACTCAAGTTAAATTTTTTTTTAAATTTTTGTGGGTCATTTGAGATAACGATTAAAATATTTTGACACGTAATAAATAAAATATTTGAAAGTTAGTGATTGAGTAGTTTTGTTACCTTGATAGTGACAGCACCAAATTTACTTTGTTCTACCTAGATATTAGATTATGATAGTCTTCTTCCAACCTATACTTAATATCTGACAGATCCTTGCCAAAAAAAAGACAATTAAGGTGGTCTGCAATTAATGTCCAGAAAATACAGCTAAATCAAGAGTACTGGCATGTAGGTAAAGGATATAACATTATAAACATCATGTAGGAATTAGTGAATTTTGCTGTGATTTCAAAATTTAAATTATTAAGTCTTGAATTGAAAGTGCTTTCTACCAATACTTGTATGTTGTATGTACTCCACAATAGAAGTCAAAAGTGATATTTGAGTGATGTATGACAATTATAGAGCTTTATGAATAAGGTGCTTTGAAATTTATTTATCTTTTAACCTTTTACATCTTCCATTTTGGTTTTTATACTTTTATACGTATATTGTCGGCACGTCTGTCCGTCAAAATTTGCTTGTAAACGCTCTAGAAACTAGATTTTTGATGGAATCAAATGAAATTTGGTATGTGTATACATATTCATTAAACGAAGATCAAGTTCGAATTTTTCGACTGTCAGAAGCAGAGTTATTGCCCTTGGCCCAAAATCTTGAATATTTACCAGCTGCATGCCCTGCTGGGCGTATATGGCTGTGGCCTCAAGTTTCTAGTTTTAACAACCACTTGCCCAAAGAGATGTATCTTAACTCAACCTCACAATATTCTTATAAACCAGTTGGTGGTTTAACTGTTGATCACTTTTAATTTCTAAATAAACCTCTGATATTTTCTGTAACTCTGTAAATGATAATATCAACTTTGTTTTGTGCCAATATATTTCAGATGTATGATTACTCGTTAGATATGTGGAGTTTAGGCTGTATGTTTGCTAGCATGATATTTAGGAAAGAACCATTTTTTCATGGCCATGATAATTATGACCAAGTAGGTATATTTATGATAACTGTATATGAACACTAAGAGTAAAACAGATAGTTAGTATTAAGTACAGGCTACTGAAATGACTGATACCTGTCATGAAGTTTATATTTTTTCTTATAACTTCTATCGAGTTGAAGGATTGATAATCGAACGCACATTTCCAAAGTATTTCTTCTGATAACAGGTTTCAACTGAATTTTGTATTAATTGACATGTTCTGGTCAATATCTTATTTCTAAATATTCTTGTAGAAACTTTTTATACAAATGTCACTGAACTAATTGAAATGGTTTTTTTCTTGTAGTTGGTAAGAATAGCAAAAGTTTTAGGCACTGATGATTTGTATGCTTATATAGAAAAATATCAAATAGATTTAGACCAAAGGTTTAATGATATACTAGGAAGGTGAGGAAAATTGTTGAATATTTATAGCATGTGGAAGTATTAAGATTATTAATTACATTCTTATAAATAAGCTTATATTTTATATAATTGATTCTTTTCGTAAGTCTTTATCTTACAAACTGCTTTCTCATTACAGGCATTCTAGAAAACGCTGGGAAAGATTTGTTCATAGTGAGAACCAACATTTAGTCAGTCCAGAAGCATTGGATTTTCTTGATAAGTTATTACGTTATGATCATCAGGAGAGATTAACAGCTCGAGAAGCTATGGATCATCCTTACTTTTGTAAGTCATTTTGAAACTCATTGAGAAAATTTATTCCATAACCTCAACATTTATTCTGTTTAGGACTGTGTGATACATATTAAAGCTGCTTAAAATTTTTTAAAATGATTATTGCATGAAAATAGGAAGTAATTTTCCTGAAAACAAAATCCATCTGCGGAGAATCAGTTTCGGTACATCTATTTACTGTTAGCATTTGCCTGTGTTTTTAAAGGTAAGGGTGATACCTGTCTTGGCAATAATAAAAATTTTTTCACAAATTTACAGTGGGTTAGGTACTATATTGTGCTCTACAGCACCAGAGGCTGCTATTTGCGTTTATCTGTGATATTAAAATAGTTATCACACAGTCCAGCTCATCATTTTTGACCCATCGTATTATTCTGCTTAACATTATATTTATTTGCTGCTCTTGATGTTTTCTTTTTAATTTATTTAATCATTTTAATCCACTCCAGTGTGAATCTTAAGATTCTATCCCTGTACATCTGTTCAAATTATGTTTTGTAATGATTTTAAAAGCTTAAACATAAATTGTATTTAATTTGTAGCCAAACTCAACAAATTTTTTTCACATATCATATCCACACTTAACAGACTACTCTACAAATTGCCAATAACTTTGTTTTCAGATGCTATTGTTCAAGAACAAGGACGAATGTCGACAATCAATGGTCACTCCTCTCCAACTCCAGTATCTAGTTCAGGACAAATTGGAGGTAGAATAGTCTCTCCTGTTCTTTCTACTTCAACGTATAATTTTAGTTGAAATCTTTCTATAGATAGTTTCTATTTCACCCAGATAGACATTTCTATATTATTTATTTTAATGTCTTGATGCATTCATTTGTGCCAAAATTAGGATTGCTTGAACACTGTGGAAATCAAAATTTAATTTTCATTTTCAGTCATTTCTTCATCAAGTCCCAATCATGCCAATTCCAAATAGTTCAGAACAAGTAATTAGTGAATTTAATTTTCTTGGTGGGGGCATTTTTTCTCTAGCCTAATTTCTGTGAAAAGTGTGTATAATATGTGTGAATAGAAAGCTATTGTTTGATGACCTCCAATGTGTGATAAACTACTAGTGCTTTATGATATTCAAAACCATTATCTGATAATTTTCTACAAATTTTAGTAAGTGGGTTAGCACCAGCTATTCTTAGTCTAAGCGTGGTTTGTGGTATGCTTTTGTTGCAAATGCTATTGCTTTGGCCTGCACCAGTGTCAGCTATAAACTTTTTTTGGCAAATGATTTTGTTTTTCCCCCTGTCTTTTTTGTTTTCCCTTTTGAATAATAAATAAAAAATTTCATTTCATCTAATAAAAACCTTACTAAAATCACTGATTTTACTAGAGTAGGTATACTGCTTAATTTAGAATCTAATTGCACAATCTTCTCTATTCTTTATGTATTAACCACTTCTAATAAAATGACAGTTGATTTGAGAAACGAAGTGCATTCATCCTTATTTGTATTTTTTTTTTGTTTTTTTTTATGAAATCCTATCTTTATATGAAAATTATAATCATACAAGTACAAAAGTATAGAGAAGGTTGTGGAAATTCTTTTATATTTACTGACTGCTTTCCTTCATGCCTTCAGGTCAACCGGTAAGCAGTTCTGTGGGTATGTCAAGTTCTCCAGTGCTGACCCCAAGCATATCTCCCCTACCTAACAATGCCACTACTGCACAGACGTAATTATGGCTTGTTGTAGACCGTTAATACATCATCTACCCTGGCGAGTTGCTATTATCAACAACGTTCTGAGTGATTAGTCAGCAGAAAGATTCAGTGAATGAAGAGCTGTATTCCAAACTTTACTTACGTATTTATCCTTTATTTTTGTGGCATTGATATAAATATTCTTCTAAGGAGTACAGTATTGTCAACCAGCTGATTATTGGAATGGAGCTCTTCTGTTTTAGTGGTAATGGAAGTATATATTCTGACAGTGTTTATCAAGGAGTAAATCTAGAATCCAATTTAAAATCCTTGTTGTGGTGAAAGAGTCCATTGACTATCATATTTTAGTGGGCTGATTATTTACCTCTTACGAACTATGTAAATTACTTAGGTTAAAATAAGGCTTTGGGAATTCAATCTATTCTAAGGAAAATAAATGTTTTTAGTTTCTATAGCAACAACAGATTATTATGTGTATTTTGTTAAGTTACTGACATGTATTACTTGTTTTCTTGTTTACTAAAAAAAATAGAAAAACACAAACAAATTAAACATTAGGAGATTAAAACCTGCATGAAAGCCTGGTTGACTATATCCCCACTGTTGCAATCTAGATTTTCAGTTGCTTTTTACTTTTACCATGCTTTCAGGATTGCTCTGCAGCTTTATTGCATGGACTATTTGATGAGAAACAAGGTGCTATGCCCAGGGACTATCAACTTTATAATAGAATTATTGGTGTAATTCTGTTAAAGTTTATTAAATACTTTATTTTGTCAGTTACTGATATTGCCGTTTATTCTGTTGTTTTGATCTTTTTTTCCATTGATTTTCAACATAAGTGCTAACTAGTAAATATTTGTTTTGTAGAATTGAAAAATTCGGTTGTGTGTTGATATTTTAATTTTAAAATCGATTTGTTCAGTTCTACTTTATAATAAGCAGAAATTGTTGCATCATTTTTGCAACAAATAGTTTTGTACATCATTTTGCCTAATTGAATACTATGTATGTTTTCAAAGTCTCTAATGAAATTAAAAAATATTGGAACTAATGATATTTTATATTACCATAAGTAAATAATGACTTAGGACGAGTCTTTACCGACTTTAGGAAGCCAGAGAAATAAGAACGGTGTGACATGTCTTTCTCTTTTAAGGACTTCATTACCATATTAGAAAAACAAGAATGTTACTTGTCTCTTTAAATAATTTTAAGATCTACAATAGTAGAATATTTTCACTGTTAAAATAGTTCAGTATATCAATTGTAAAGCGATATAGAAATATTTAAACAGAACCTGAAGAAACATGATGTTATTCAGTTTCACACTAGCAATCTTCAAACAGTCACATAGTGTGGAACGCTGAGTAACAACATGTCTTTAGTTTCTGTTTTAATATTTCTAATTTAAAGATCTATTTTAATCGTAATCTATTAAAACGTACATCATATTTTTAAGGTTTAAATATCACACCATTAGCAGTAAAATGATTATAATACATCATATTTATTAGGTTTAAATATCACACCATTAGCAGTAAAAGACTATAACACATCATATTTATTAGGTTTAAATATCACACCATTAGCAGTAAATTGATTAAAACGTACATCATATTTCTAAGGCTTAAATATCACACCATTAGCAGTAAAATGATTATAACACATCATATTTATTAGGTTTAAATATCACACCATTGGCAGTAAAGTGATTTATGACACATCATATTTATTAGGTTTAAATATCACACCATTAGCAGTAAAATGATTTTAACGTACATCATATTTTTAAGGTTTAAATATCACACCATAAGCAGTAAAATGATTAAAACTTACATCATATTTATAAGATTTAAATATCACACCGTTGGCAGTAAAATGATTTATGACACATCATATTTATTAGGTTTAAATACCACACCATTAGCAGTAAAATGATTTATGACACATCATATTTATTAGGTTTAAATATCACACCATTAGCAGTAAAAGATTATAACACATCATATTTATTAGGTTTAAATATCACACCATTAGCAGTAAAAGACTATAACACATCATATTTATTTGGTTTAACTATCACACCATTAGCTGTAAATGATTAAAACGTAAACATATTTATAAGGTTTAAATGTCACACCATTGGCAGTAAAACGGTTATGACACATCATATTTATTAGGTTTAAATATCACACCATTACCAGTAAAAAGATTATGACACATCATATTTATTAGGTTTAAATATCACACCATTAGCAGTAAAAGATTATAACACATCATATTTATTAGGTTTAAATATCACACCATTAGCAGTAAAATGATTATAACACATCATATTTATTAGGTTTAAATATCACACCATTAGCAGTAAAAGATTATAACAGTAACACATCATATTTATTAGGTTTAAATATCACACCATTAGCAGTAAAAGATTATAACACATCTTAATTATTAGGTTTAAATATCACACTATTAGCAGTAAAATGATTATAACACATCATATTTATTAGATTTAAATATCACACCATTACCAGTAAAATGATTATAACACATCATATTTATTAGGTTTAACTATCACACCATTACCAGTAAAATGACTAACACGTACATCATATTTTTAAGGTTTAAATATCACACAATTAGCAGTAAAGTGATTATGACACATCATATTTATAAGGTTAAATATCACTCTTTTAGAAGTAAAATGGTTATATACAGACCTACATCATCTTTATAAGGTTTAAATATCACACCATTAGTATTATAGATTATAACATACATCATCTTTTTAAGGCAAAAATATCACACCATTAGCAGTTAAATGATTAAAACGTACATCATATTTATAAGGTTTCATTACCACACTTCTAGAAGTAAAATGGTTATTATATAGACCTACATCTTTATAAGGTTAAAATATCACACCATTAGTAGTAAAATGATTAAAACGTACATCATAGTTGTAAGGTTTCATTGCCACACTTATAGGAGTAAAATGGTTATTAAATAGACCTACATCAACTTTATAAGGTTTAAATATCAACCCGTTCGCAGTAAAATGATTATGACACATCATATTTATAAGATTTAATTATCACACCTTTAGCAGTAAAATGTTTAGTATATAGACCTACATCATGTTTATTAGGTTTAAATATTACATCATTTACAGTAAAACTGTTGTTAAAATATACATAATAATTATTAGGTTTAAATAGCACACCAATAGCTGTAAATTGTTTACTATATTATTAATGCTTAATAGGATTAAAAAACATATCGTAATAAAATGTTTAATAGATACATCCTTCTTTATAAATTTAATAATCACACCATTAAAGACGGGTTGCTCTTATTTTCATTGATGAAAATGAAAATACTAATACTTATATGAATAGAAAGTAGAAGTGTTCTAATGACTTATTATCTGTACAGATAGTTAGGTTGTGTCATAATGGTATAAAGGTAGTAAAACAAACAGGTCACTAGTCCGCTTTAACCTATTAAAGCAATACATGTCTCGTTGACGTAAAGTGGGTAGATTTTTGGAGCAATTTCATTTAGATTTAAAACATGGAGAGTAATTTGGCTACTACAACAATACAAACCACCCCCCGACATAAAATACCAGTTTGTCTCACATGTCCATAATTAATTAATAATTAGCTAAATTAGAAAAGAATTACCTGCAGAATTTCAATGATTGACCGATCAAGAAAGGTCAAAAATTACTTTTTTGTTTATGCGGACTGTTCATACATGGACATTTATGATTGATTAAAATTATATTTATTATATGCAATAAGAACATAATAATTTGATTAAAATACATGATAATTTATTACAAACACCAATTAATCAAAAATAGTTTGCTTAATTAGACACTAATTAGACACTAAAAAATGAGGAAACCCATCTATAGCAGTAATTATTATGTTTACGACATACATCATATTTAATAGGATTCAACATAACACCATGTAGTAAAATGATTATACAGACCTACAATGTTTATTAACTCTACACTTCATATTTGTAAGATATTTAAATTTTACACCATTACTATATAGCAGAGAGAATTGATTACTATAATAACTTGATACTATAAGAATAATATATAATATAATCTCTGTATATAGCAATATGATATTTTAAGTATTTGATTATTGGTACTCGTGTGTTTCCTTATACCTATTGTACGACAACCCTCATCAATCTTGAATGACCTATTTTTCTATTTTTAACATCGGAAAATCCGTAAATATTTAATCTGTTTTCTCCGAAAAAAAACACAACACTTGGATTACTAGTATTTTTGAGAAATGGAGAAGATAGTGTAATTATTGAGTTATTGTAACCCACATTCAGTTATATAATCACCTGAAGATTCAATATATTAATGTATGGTGGATTGTTAGTATCAAGTAGGTAAAATATTTGAGCAAATTTGCCTTGACTGCTGACTAACACTATAGAATTTATAAGACAAAAGTTTGATTCAAAATAATACTCATATATATCTTCTGATATTTGAAATGATAACATGATAAATGTTTTATTCATCCATTGAGGCTTTTTAATATAGCAATATGAAAAAGATACCAAGAGATATCTTTATAGTCCTACCAGGTTTCAATTTAATGTCACTTCTGAATAATTGTCTAATGTTTTGATGATCTATAGTGTCATAAGATCACTTTAGAATAAAACCAAGGATTTCAGCCAGGGGAATGTCTGGAAATATATTATACATTTGTGATTATATATAAATGTATATGTTTAAAGGGGGAGGATATGCCATCATCATAAAAATGTCAAATGACTAAATCTTGTCTCCTAACTCTTTCAAAAACAGTCTGATTTTCATTCATTTTGTAAATGAACCATTAGCTTATAAGTATAGACTTTATTTTAAAAGGCTAGACCGGTTTATTTTCAACGTGAAGAACTATGCTTACTATGTGTGAAACTACAATGTATATCTAAACCCTTTATATAGTTTCTAAAAATTTACCTGGCCACCGAGGAATCGTTTTAAAAAAATTAAATTTGAAGTTTCCTATTAATACAAGGCCAGTGTTTTCTCGTGAATGGTTTCTTAGGGGAAAGCAATTCCGAGACTATGGACTTGAGCAGAAAGTTTTGTTGACAAATGGCGACAGAAATATAAAATTAACTTTGTTTGTGTACTTCTCCAGTTGTTACATGTAAATTATGGATTACATGTATTACCATTATAGCAAAATTCACAAAATCACAATACTGAGAAATGAAAATAAAGAAGTTGATCGCTATTTTTATTTTCTAAGAATTATTTTATTGATTGTGCTTGGATCTTTCACATTGAAACTTTCATGAAATTGTAAGGGGCATCTTCAAGACCACAGAAACTCATTGAAAAAACCGGTATAGGCCTTAAAATAGTTTTTCTTTTTTCAACTCGGGTCCCCCTTGTCAGCGATGCAGGTAAGAGGACCTGACATGGCCCACATGGTGCAGAATAGTAGGATGTAAAACTCCATTCATTTCATTTCATTTTTTTGTAAATAGTGATACTGATTGTTCAGACTGAACTCTAGCTATGTGTAAATTGATGATGTGTTGAAATTTGGACCACTATTCATGAAATTACTGTATATCTCTACATCAACAAATATGTCAATTACAGGGAATACAGTGTAATAGATTTAACAAAATGGCAAAAATTGAATTGGTAAACAAATTCTCAGTCCAGTGGGAGATAATAGACAAAGGTAGGTCAAGTTATGATGTACATGTATATGAAAATTAGTTCAATGAAAACAAACAATGCCCCATTTTCAGTCTTCAAAAATTAATTTGCTATTCACATCATCTCTGTAGCATATGAACAGAATTCTGAAGGCATCTGCTTAGTTACAACAATTGGTGATTATAGGTTGCGTCCAGTCGCGTCCCAAGAAATCAGATTTTGCACTCAGACCCAGAAAACTCATTGTGGGACTTTGCTTTCAGCAAAGTCCCAGTTTGTTATCGAAATGTCAATTCTTTTTTTTTTTTTTTTTTTTTTT